TTAGTAGCAATTGTTACATATTTCACTGTGGGCCCTGACTGTGATATTTTGTTTAATTCCACGAAGCACGAAATGAAAGAATCCTTATTCACTAATGCCACATCTGATTCAAAGTACAATGCTTAATCAGTTAAAAAAGTCATTCTATAAACATGCTATCTGGTAGCAAAAGCGTAATGAAAAAATCACTATAAAAGGGCCATTACACATTCGGCGAGTTTCTTAAAGATGTTTGGCGGTTTTTGCACTCAAGAAGTAGTTGTGATTTCTTCCATACGAAAAGGGATTTGTTTGAATTTTTACGAGCAGGAATAAAATAGTTTTGCCACCTGTTTCAACTACACAAGTTGGTTCTATGATATTAAATAACATTAAAAAGATATAAGGTTTACCAACAGGTAACTAATGTGTTTGTATGGTTTGTTTCCCCAAAAATAATGTTTGGGAAACGGAGTATCCAGTTAATACTTTTCGGACCTCTAAAAGTTTATCTACATACGACAAATCTATGGAACATAATTATTCTCTTTAGCGTTCTCTTCCCGTTGCGATGAACGGGTATGACTGCTAGTTAACCATAAAAGAATGTTAAATACGTTTTTTTAATCGGGATTAGTTAAATAAAATCAGCACAATTGTTTGTATAAATATGATTATAGTACTGACAGTTGCTAATTGCTGCATTTACTACCTTTTGCCGCACTCCAGTATTCTAGTATTCCAACCAAACAACCGGACGAGTGTGGTCGTTCTCGACCTCGTCTCGCACGGGATTACCATACGAGTCCGGTACACACATTTTGGACGAGTTACGTGCGATAGTTTACGCCATACTAATAAATCTGTACAAATCCTTATATATTACCACCAACTAAAGGACTAAAAATCACTAGTCATAACCTCTCCAGAGGTTATGATTTTGTTTATAACCAATCTCATTGTAGAAAATGTAATAACATGTATGTTTGTTAGTTATTAAAATATGTTTAATTTACACATTACCTGTAGTATTTACTTGTCAAGGCAGACGTAAACCGATTTGCTAGAAATTTAATGTAAAATGTAAACAAATCATGACTTAGAACGTAATGATATTTGCTTTTGTAGATCATGAAAAGTTGCACAAGCTACATATTTATACTGAACATATTAATTATGAGTCAGTATCTCTTGTTTCCGTGGATGTACTTACGCCCCAACAATAGGAGTCGGACCCGGAAAACAAGACGATTAGTGATAGTTGACAGACTCTCTGCCTCACTCTGACCGTTCCAAAACTTAAAATACTTTTAGAATCAACTTAAAATTTCATTAATCTTTCGGGAAGTCGTAACAGTTTGATACGTTTGCCCTTTGCAGTATTATTAATATGGTTTACACAAGAATCTATAGAATAACTGTTGAAGTGATTGACTTTAAATTAAAGAACTACATTTGAACGTTTTATTTTATTTTTGTATATTATGATTTAGTTAAAATTAAAATAAAACGTTTAATTTATAATGTACGTTAATTAGATGGAAAGTAAATAAAAGAAACGTCTTATAACATTAAAAACATATATTTACGCTTATACTGTTACAAGACGGTAAATACACAAAAAACATATTTTTTGTACATTTACCGTCTCTGCTTGAATACTGCAAGTAGTTAAATCTCATTCACGAGGAACAGGTGTAGTATTGATTGACTTTAGAGAAGGATTGGATTAATATTCCAGCTCCACTCAATATTGCACGCAGAAAACTGCGTTGTTGTACTTTTAAACCTCATTCAAGAAAGGGGTGGTGCCAATCTGTCGCGGTGCCAAGCTGACGGCGGCCGCAGAGGTGCCAATCAGTCGTAACAGTACACGACAGATTGGAACCTCTAGAAAAGGCAGGTGCCAATCTGTCGCGGTGCCAAGCTGACGGCGGCCGCAGAGGTGCCAATCAGTCGTAACAGTACACGACACATTGGAACCTCTAGAAAAGGCAGGTGCCAATCTGTCGTGGTGCCATGCTGTCGTGGGGTGATATTTCATGGCCTCATGTCAACGAGGTTCTAATGTGACGCCGGGTGCTAAAACACCATGGTGCCAATCTGTCGTGGTGCCAATCTGACTGCGACTCCTCAAGGTTACAGACCCTCCCCCTCCCCTCCCCTCCCATCTTACACAACCCGAGCCAGGCCCGGGGACACTCAAGGTCATAGACCCTCCCCCTCCCCCGCCCGTATTACACCACCCGGTTGTTCCAATTGCTGACAAAATACAAGTAACAAAACAAGTAAGTAGAGACAAAAAGATATATTTTCTTTATTCAAAAATATAAAACTGTTACAGATAATTTCCAAAGAAATTAATTCATGGTAGTTTGTGTCTTGTAAATATTGTATTGGATCTTAGAAATATATTTTTTGAAACTCAATCTAACTTATGAAAAAAATAATTTTACTGATGAAAACTTTCATAAAATTATAAAATATTTAGGCCTAACCTCTTTGTAGACTTGTTGATACTTGATACTTAAAAAAAAAAATTAAATGGTGACCAAACAATGCCGAACCAGCGACGATCAGAAGTGTTGTTTTGTTTTGTTACTGAATGACAAAAAGGACAATAGGAAAATAAAAGAACAAGATACAGATCTGTACACTATATCAGATATTTCTTTTGTTTATAATTTATTATGTAAATAAAATACTAAAATATAATTTAAACTAGGTATGGAATAAACAATAAATAATTAAACTGGTACCTCTGGATAAATAGTCTTTCTTTTGACTTTGTTTTCTTTGCACTGTTGCGTCACGGCTTTTGTTTTGTCAGTAGACGACTGGCTCTGGCTAGTGACAGTAAGGCAATAATTTCTCTGTTGTCTTTGTTCTTAAACGTGAGCAAACTTAATATTTAATTCTAATTTTAACATTTTAATTCCTCTGTAATAATGTATATAAGAGTGTTTCTTTGAAAATTACTTATTATAACTTTAAAAATGGCCTAATAATTATTTTTTTTGGCCCGACCCGATCTTGGCCCGAACAAATCTCCGACCCGACCCGGTCTCTCGGGCCTTCCGCTGGCCCGACCCGACCCGAAAAAATCGGGGACCCGCAGACCCCTACTTTTCTCACTAGTTGCACAAATAACTATTGTTTAGCTGAAAATATTGTTATTGTTGGTAAAAATATTTTAAGGACAAGCTATGTGGCTTGTAAAGTTTTTATGGAAGTCAACCAGCCAACTAAAGAAATGATAGCTGGTGGCTTATGGATACGTCCAAAAATAATAATAGAAATAAAAACCTTTAACAGTTTTCCAAAAGTAAAATGAAATTTGAGAAAAAATGTTTATTAACTCACCTTAAGCCATTTAACTATTTGCTAATTGTGTGAGTGGCTTGATTTTTTAGGGGAGTTGAGCCTACAGTAGACTCCCTCTAATCCGGACCCTTTGGGACCGAAGCCAGTCCGGATAACGGGTTTTCCGGTTAAACCGACGTCCTCAAAAACCCATTAAAACAGACCGTTTAGATGCTTACTGTATACAGAATTTGACTTAAATTTGGGAGAGCATTGTATTTAGACACGTGATTAATGGTCTCAAATCTTTCCCACGAGAACAGTCGTTTCAATTACATCATTTTTGGATTATACATAAATGAAATTCTAAATTGGATACATAACACTAAGGAAAATTTGTCAGATGTAGTCAAATTTACACATAATTATAATACAAGGAATAAATATAATTTCAGATTACCACATCACAAGTTGACGATTTTTAGGAACAGCCCTCAATATATGGGACTTGGATTGTACAATGAATTACCCCTGTATCTTAAAAATTTAAATGCTACTCAATTCAAAGATAAAATAAAAGATAAAATAATTGATAAAGCCTACTATTCACTTGACGAATTTTTGGAGAACCCTATAGTGTAGATAAAAATTCTCTGATATCCTACATGAGTTTAGTTTAATTATTTTAACTATTAAGTTTACTATAAAATACATCACTATGACGAAATACCTGTTCTTATGTATGAAATGTAATTTATAAAGAACGTTTTGTGTCAATAAAATATGTCTATGTCTATGTTCAATACCGCCCGCTTCCTGCCAATCTAGTTCGGTTAAACTAATGTCCGGTTAAAAGGTGTCCGGATAAGAGGGAGTCTACTGTAGTTTACAAAATTGAGAGATCAAGTACCAAATCAGAAAATCGAGCTCGAGAAAACAGTCTGCGAACATGTCTGCGAAGATCGCGCTTGAAAAATCTTGCTTTGCCACGATGCAGATAATGTTTCCACTTCCATGATCGCAAAAATGATGATCATGACTTCACAGCCATGGCACATGTCCAGGATTTTGCAGTGATTTTTGGAATGTAAATATCCGAGGCCAGGCAGAAGACGATGATGATGTTTCTGAACTTCAAGAGATGTTCCAGGTTTTGCCGTGGTCATGGGAGACAATGATAAAGTCTACAAGACCGTTGGAGATGCCCAGAGTTTTGGTATGGTCGTAGAAATGACCGAGGGAGGTGTTTAATGTTTCGTTGCAACTTAAACGATGAGGATGTTTCCGCAACTGCGGGGGAGGTTTAAGGTTTTGCCACAACTTGCAAGAGAGAATTATCATTTTCACACAACCGTGGAAGATATACAGGTGTTCCGCAATCGCAGGAGACAATGATTTCTACACCACTGAGAAAGGGTTTTTGCTACAATTGCAGAAGACGGTAACGATGTCTACACTACTATGGGAGGTATTTAATATTTTGCCGCCATCACGGGAGATGATACTGAGAAATATCTGAGGTCCAAACTCCAAATACCAGCACTGTGTAAAAAGCAAAAACAAGTTACCACAACACATATATCCTTAAACAAGGACAACATTCTAAATACTTTTTTGCTTGTGTGACTGATACAGTTATTCAGTGTATTTTATAATGGTTTCTGATTCAGGGAGTATTTATTAGAATGATGTAGCTGTTATTCCAAAACATTACTTACCATATTCGGAGAAGGTCATGTTGCATTTCTCAGCTCCTTTCTTAATGTTGTTGTAAGCGACCAGCAGAGTGGCTCCTTCCGAGGCCAGGGAACCTCCGAGAATCAGTAAAGCCTGGATGGAACCATTTTTTTAGTTAGTGAAATTTTTATTTTTTAGTTAGTGAAAATCGTTTTCAATGTTTAAACCTCAAACAACTATTGTGCATATTTATTCTTATTAAAATATTTAGGTAAGAAAACTAAAAGAGGAAAAAGATTACTGTATTTTTTATTTCCAGTGTTATTTTAGACTGCAGTTAAAAAAATGTTGATTTGAATTAATGTAGCATATTGGGGTTTGTCAAGATTAGTTTGATAAATGTAAAATCAAATAACACATAAAGCAACAGTGTCTTCCAGTAAGACATGAAATTGTATAAGTGAATTTTGTCAGAACTAGTGTTATGTTTATATTACTTAAACAAGTGATGTGACGATAATAGGTCACAACTAGACTGGGGAAAGAACTTACTTTGGGTTGGAAAGGTACCAATGAAGGTGTACCTTAAGAAAAGGTGTGATAGAGTTAACAATGAAGAGATCAAAAGAGAGAATGCAGCTTGGAGATTCGGAAAAGCAATAATATGATGGTTTGGAAAAATGTGAGAAGATAATTTCTTGCGTAATGGAGATAATGGTGGTAAAAGGGAGGATACCCAGAAGAAGATCAAGGATAATTTTATTTTTTTGTAGTCTCGAATCACTTAACATATAAATAAGAGGTTAATTTACCTTGATTTCGTCTTGTGATTCTCTATGGGTGGATGATGATCATTTCGGCTACAGTAGAAGTGTAATATTCATTTTTCATGTTTAGTCTAACTGTTTATGTGTGACCTCAATATGAGCGAAAATTGATATTCTTGACAAGGATCTAAAGAAGACTACATAGTCGCTGAAACGATCTTCATCCACCCTTAGAAGAGGTATAAAAATCACAAGTCAAAATCAAGGTAATATCACAGGTATACTAAAATCACAGGTATACTTGTGAAGGATAAGTTGGATGAATTAGGTGAAAAGGGGTGTCAAGGAGCTGGAAGTGAAACTGTAGATGACGGTGGAAGAGGAACAAGAGAAGATGGAAAGGCCATGTTTCTGTTGTATAAAGCTAGTTACCCAGTAGTAGTTGACCAAGTCAGAGGGCTCCACCAGCCCCATGACTCCATGATACAGAGACAGTCCTGTGCCTATACAAAAGATGCCCACGCCAGAGATGAGGGAGGAGACATACTTCATGTTGGTGTAGCCGTACGGGTGATCAGAGTCTGCCCTCTGTAACACACCATCAGCTGATAAAAACTCATCACTAAACCATGGCACAAAATAACGTTATCTTAAATTGTTTTTATAATGAGCTTTGACTATAACTGTAAGGTAAATGTAATAACTGAACATATTTTAATACAGTAAAACTTCTATTAAACATACCCCGTTAAACCAAAATCATAATTTAAAAAATTATAATCAATTGGTGAAGTAGCTACAAGCCAGGCAACACAAACTATCTACAATGGCCTAATTTAGCTAACAGAAAGTAATGGAGCAGACGATGCAAAACTCATATCACAATACAGATAGCATTAAGAAAACTATTGATAATTATTTTCAGACATATATTTTGGGTATATGGTAGTGGATTTTAGTGTGACAGTAAAAAATATAGCTTTAAAAACTACTGTTGACTACAGTATCTCCTAGAATTAAATCAGTTTTAAAATTCCAACCATTGATTAACTGCAAAACATAAGTTTATCCTATCTGAAAAAAAACTACTTAATTTCAGTCGATGAGGCTTTACTGTATTTAAATTCCATTGAGGGGAAATCGTATTACTGGACCCTACTTTAAAATTCTAGTATAAAAAAAAACAAAATCAAAATTATTTAGCAAACTAAATTTTTAGCTCTACAGTTTTGTGTTTCTGATTCCCAAAAAACTAGCTGCCTGATGCACAATGATGATAAGGTAGACCTAAACCTGCCTGTACAGATTTGTGTATCCCGTAGGCTAGGATGAGTTGGTTGATGGTGTCAGCCAGAGAATGTACAGCCTCGGAGAACATGACGTGTGACCCAGTGAATGCACAAGCTAACGTCTTGAAAAGAAAGTTACTGCCATTGCTGAAACACATGCAATGTTTTATGCGGGAGAAGATTAATCGAAACAAACCTAAAATAACACAAATAAAGGATGTATTGGGAATATATAACACTGATTCACTCTGTTTTACTCATTAAAAGAAAAAAAAAATGTAGACACTCGTTCATTTCTCAACTGTTATAGCAACCACGAAGCTTTTAATAAAAAATTACCTAACTAAAGCCAGTTGGCAGGCAGGTTACCTGCCTCAGGTAACTTGAAATAAACTAGAGCCTACCTGCCTACTGGCCTTGTGTAAATGCGACATTAGTTATAATAACTCATTCTGATGACAAAAACCTATGATGAAATTTGAAATTGGTTCACTTATTGTGAATGAGGATTACATTTCATGAAAATTATGTTCTATCAGAGGGAAAACCTCCATTATTGATTCATAGTCAAAATAAAACTGTCGATTTATTGAAATACAATCGTGCTTTCATATACTACAACCCTTATACACTGTTAATTACAAGAAACCAGATGCAGTAAGATGTTGCACACAACTCCACAACTGTAATACATTTAATCTGTACTATACTGACAGTCACCCAAGATTTATGGAGTATAGGAGGTGGGATAGACTGTAATGATGTCACTGTATATCCGGCGCCGGCGGCCAGTCCAACGTGTCACACAACTGCAGAGTTTATACAAGAAACAAATGACAACATACCACGTGCCAGTACTTTACACCTTCTATATATTATACCTCTTCGCACCCACCAACTCCACATTACCATCCCTGAAGATGAAGTTGTTAAAAGTAGTTGAAAAGAAAATGAGCAATGGTTACAGATTTTAAAATATATATTCTTACAAAAAAGTTAAATTGATAACATTTTGGATACAGTTTGATGATCTGGCTTAAAGATCATTGTGTTCCCCTGCATCAATTATACAGAACTGGAAATGTTCACCACAACCATGACAACTGTAACTAAATAACTGTCTATGTTTGTTACTGAAAATTAGTTGTCTTTGATCTGTCTTTACTTTACTATCTATTCAGAACATATTTTGTTTTGTATAACAGATACTGTAGTTTAATTGATTGTTATTTGGAATGTTTTTATTCATAATTTATCTTTGCGTAAATAAAACAGTGAAGTCAAGTCTAATTGGATTTATTAATCTGTCATGTTAATAATTTTCTTCAACAACCATCAGGATGAAGGCCTACCAAATTGTGTAAAGCATTTGATAGAATGAAACCCTCGGATGTCGTTACACACCCAGCAAACGTGTACCTTGTCGCTTACATTGCAATGGCAGTAAGTACGACCCGACCCGACGGACCAAATAGTCCTGCCTCCTGCGCCATCTCCAGCTCTCGCTGGTGGTCTCTCTCTCTGCGGAAATCTCTCAGTCTCCGCTTGGCAGTGAATGTGCCTGTAACAGCACCAAAACATTCATACAGAAGTAATATAAACCCTGTCAAAGAAGATACATATCAACTTCTTCCAACACTACCTGATGTTATTACGTACAGACACTAGCTTTAATTCTTTGTCAACTACACATTTACAGTTGATAAACCAACAAAATATGTCTTCTGTTTTTCCACTCAGAGAATTAGGTACTTACAAAACATTAAATTAATTGATTTTTTGAAAAGGAATAGATTTCACTAGTTCGGCTAGCTTACCGAAGAAAATTATAATCAAGGGAAAATTATAGCTACTATATTAATTTAAAGACAAATTTAAAACTAATCTAACAAAAAAAGAATTATTGTTCTTTGCCTAAAACAAGAGATAGAGATTGTTAATCAAAACATTGCGCTTGACCAAAAAATAGCCTTGGCGGTTTTGACATGCAACCACTTAAAAATTGTGGCGGAGAAAGGGTTAAGTGTACCATTGAATCTCTGTATCTTACTTCTCTGTGTTACTTTTCTCTGTGTTTTCTCTGTGTCCAGCAAAAAGTACCTTTTCAATCTAAATCTCGTGAAGCAAAAACCATAACAGCTGCTGGTAAAAAATTAATTGGGCAGCCACTTTAACTGAAACAAGGCTTCTCACTAACATTTTAAACAGAAAATTCCAAGCAAAAATGTTTTATAAATTTTATATATTTAAAACAAATCAGCTTGTGCTTAAAATTTAATTCATAAGAAATTCCATAAACTGGTCCTGTGTATAGCAAGAACCTGAAAGATGCAGGTGAAACTAGGTAGTGAAAATATATGAGCCTAAATTATTTAGTGCAATATACTTACTTTGTTGGTAAAACCGCCTTTCTAAATCCCTCTTAAGTAACTCTTTCTCTAAAATCTCCTTCGAGCCCCAAACTTCAAAGGCCCTGAAAACCCATTGTTATTTTACTTGTGCAATAAAGCCTGTGCAAAGTAGCCTATAACATTTAGGAAACATCAATGGTCCTATGTAAACAAAACCTTTGTTACGTTGGTGATTACATTCTAATATTGAACAGAATGATAAGAGGGCTGGAACCATGGTTATTATACCGTGAAAAGGAGGTTCCGATCGCGTAATAATGTTATAACCAGGATAAGAATAAGAAGCCACTATGAAATACAACTTTCTTACACACCAACTTATGTAAGGGCCACCATTATTTCATTACCACATCAACTACCATAGCATGAAAAACTAACAGAGACAATATGGTTTTGGTAGTGGCACACTCTTTGAGAAGTTTGTTTGACTATTCTTGGAGTATACAGTAGAAAATCGATTATCTGATGCCCGGTCACCCGAAATGTTGGTTAACCGAGAGGTTGATCACTGGTGTGTCCTGATCGCGGGAGATGTTCAGCGGTAACTAGACCGCAATACATGCTCATGGGTGTTGCCATAATCACAGTAGATGTTTACTGTTGTCGCTGAGACCACAAGATTTAAAAAATCTGCTATCCAAGCTATTTATTCCTTTAACAACTCATGCACATTTTGCAATAGACATAATGTGAAACTTGAGTAGCAAAATAAGGCAAAACCCAATTGTTTAGGGTAGGTTTAGGGTAGGTTTAGGGTAGGACTCTCTACTGTATTCTACTTCAGTGCCATGGTCAAAAATAGAGCTGAAGAAATTGCAGCCTCCACATTCTGTTGCCATACGACCAATAAAAATGTTCTCTTTAAACGAGAGGCCTCTTTGGCAACATTACAAATTCAACATTGGTACAGTAGGCTAAATTACAAGGCCTTAATATTATTCTGCTAGTGTAGTTGGTACAGTTACTTGTTACTAGCATCATTCAAAAATCCTCCAAAATGAAATATTAAATTTACGTGTGTTACTTTTGTTTGTGTATCAAGTGGCACTCATTTCAATGTTTATAAAGGAGATTAAAATGTCTTGTGATCTATAAGTATAAAAGAGGATGTTTGTATATATATATATATATATTTGTTTGGCAGTGATAAACTCAGACACCGCTGAACCGATTGCCACGAAACTTGGTACATACGTGTAGAATTTCATGGAATAGGTTTATACACCATCAATTCGTGATCCGTCCAATCGGCTCCGCCCCAGTGGCTCTGGAGTTTCCCATGTTAACCTTATGAGAAATGGAATTAATGAATCTTAACAGCTGTTTCAATTAAACAAGTTGGTTCTGTTCTATGATGTTCAATAGCATTAAAGTTACAAGGATTACCAACAGGGTGCAGCACTATTATTTCTTTTACATTTATGACAACAGCTAATTTGCAACTAAAAGGTGAGTGAGCGTAGCGAACGAACTTCAACCTGGAGGCGAGTTAGTGTAGCAAACGAGCTAACCTGAAGGCAAGTGAGCGTAGCGAACGAGCTAACCTGAAGGCAAGTGAGCGCAGCGAACGAGCTCCAACCTAAAGGTGAGTGAGCGTAGCGAACGAACTTCAACCAGGACGTGATTGAGCCATGCGAACGAGATCATCTTGAAAATTAAGAACTTAAACGGGGCAAAGCCCGCGGGTTACAGCTAGTCATTAATAAATTATTATCAATTATCAATCAATTATTTAAGATGGGGACACCACTATGTGCGTATTTTAACCCAAATATGAGTGAAGGATGAGTGTAGGATGAGTGGCGCGATCTTGTAGTCTTGTTAGTGACTAAGGCCGACATATTCCTTAGACACAGCTGTTAATTAATAGCCCATACAGCTAATGAAAAAAATAACATTTTCTAACTACATGATAAAAATTGAATACCATTATAATCTATCCTCCTTCAAGTGATAATGCTAAACTTAAACTAATCTTAAACAATTCACCACTGAACTCCAACGTCCGAATGTTATAGGCCTACTCACTTTTCCTCGACGTCCTTCCTCCAATACACGGTTATGGGTGGTTCATTCTCATAGGGTGATCTGCGTTTAGTGGCCCTCAAGTTCTCAAGGTCTGAAGGTTTAAGAAGGAAGTCAGACATTGCTCTGACTGGAGTGATGAAGTTCCTCGCCACAGATGTTGCGGTTAAATCTACCCTCATTCTCTTCTTAGTCACTGAAATGAACCAACTTAAATGCACAGCTAGGTCCTAGTACGAGGCATGTTTTTTAAGTAAGTACCGTTTTTAAATTTCTCCGTTCCTACACTGCGATTGACATTTTCGACATTTGCGCTGTGTTTGGGCATCTATTGGTAAGACCTAGCTGGAAATTTGAGAATAATCGGCCGTGTTTACATCCGGTTTCAAGCATTCAAAATGGTGCCACCAATTGAGACTGCCGCCGACTGTGAAGTGCGTGCTGTAATTAGATTTTTAAGTTTTTAAGGTGTGAAAGCTATTGAATATCATCGACAGATTAGTGAAATGTATGGCGAGAACATTATGAGTGCCATGATGGTACGCAAGTAGGTAACAGCATTTTAAGAAGGTCCCACCAACGTTCATGATGAGCAAGGCACAGGGTACGGGAACAGTAATGACACTGCCCAGTGCGTTACGCATCATGAACGTTGGTGGGGCCTTCTTAAAATTCCCTTATCCACTTCCGCACCATCATGGCACTCATAATGTTCTCGCCATACATTTCACTAATCTGTCGATGATATTCAATAGCTTTCACACCTTAAGCACTTAAAAATCTAATTACAGCTTGTACTTCACAGTCGGCGGCAGTCTCAATTGGCGGCACCATTTTGAATGCTTGAAACCGGATGTAAACACAGCCGATTTTTCTCGAATTTCCGGCTAGGTCTTACCAATAGATGCCCACACACAGCGCAAATGTTGAAATTGCCAATCGCAGTGTTGGAACGGAGAAATTTAAAAACGGTACTTACTTAAAAAACATGCCTCGTAATAAAAGCAGTTTAGTAATGGTTAAAAATGATAAATGCCAGCTTTACAAGATGTCCCCAAGACAAGAATCCATTTGCTACTTTAGTTTTGGTTTTAATGTAATAAAATAAAGAAATATCTAGATCAATTTGGTCCATAATAGTTGTTCAAGCTAAGTGTCAATATTAATTCAAGTATTATATTATGTTTTTTTAGTTTCACAGACTTAGATTTCAGTTTACTTGTATAAAATGTATTTAATTTTTGTAAGAGAGTGAATTATATAGGGGAAAAAACAATTCTCAATCCAAAATCAGGTTCCTGAGAGGAAACTAGTTGGACTTAGACCCCCTTCACACTGGGCCACCATGGTGGTGACACCGGTGGCGACACCATGGTGGCTACGTTACATTAGCATTGATTTAAATGGGACATCTTCACACTGAGCTTTGGCCGCGCGACCAGAAATGCGGTGGCTCGGGGTTGCGATTTTCAGAGACACCAGTCTGGTGGCGCCACCACGTCGTACCATGGTTTCTTATCGGACTGTTCACATTGGAGCGACTGGCAGCGCCACCAGTCACTACCAGCGGGCATTACTCAGTATACTAGTTTACTAATCTTTTGAAGTTGTTAAGGTAATAAATATGGGGAAACGATTTTATTGATATAACAAAATGTATAGGTATTTCATTTACATCTTTTCGTCATTGCAATGTATACATTGAGTCAAGGTATTACAGTGTTACAGTATTAATAAATGGTATATTAACTATGTTTTTTATTTAAATTTCCACAACGTTAGTAGCAGTTTCTCTTCTGGAGATATTTTATCTTTCAGACGTCCCAGAAGCTCATCAAAACTTAAAACACTCATTCTTGAGTAGTAATTGTGAAACGTGTCAGGGTTATTTCTAAGGTCTTGGTAGTGAATGAAAAAAGTCTCTCTAGTACTTATATCTCATAAAACCGGATGAACAAAAAAATACGTTTTTTTCTTATGTTTTCACAATTTCAAAAAAATATATACGCTAAGCACCTGCCTCTTCGACGTCCAACTGTGAGTTTTGTGGCTGCAGCTGCACTGGTGGTCCATGCACATTTTGACCGGCCACCAGTGTCGCCACCATGGTGGCCCAGTGTGAAGAGGCCCTTAGGACATACCTTTTTCCACTGCTTCCTGGATTATTGACTTTTTCTTCTCCTTTTCTGAAAAGGGATCTGGTTTTCCATCAGGCTTCTTGGTTTTGGTGGCTAAAACTGTTTCTTTCTCCATGGTGGTAATCTTTTTGACATCTACACAGTTAAAACATATTATCAATTAGGATAAAAACATACTTATTCAATTAGCCTATCAACAACTTTGAAATCAAAACCAACATCAGGCTTACATATTATAAGCTAAGTCATGAATAAGAAGTAATTCAGTGGAGTGTTAAGTTAGAACACCAGTCTACAAATGAGACAAAACATTTTGGGCAACGACTTGGATATTTAACTGCTGTCTCAATAGTTTTAATGTGGTTTTAATGTGTATTTAATGTACTATAATGTATAATGTGTGTAGAATTTTAAAATGTATGTAAATAGAATTTTGTGCTCGTATATATACTTTCTGATTAGATTATACTTTCTGTTATTAGTTTTATTTAGTATTAGTAAATTAACAAGAGTTATCCTGTAAAGCAGTATGTAGGCCTACTGAGGAACGCTTGCTAAATAAAGGCATTATCATTTATTTATTTATTTTAATGTCTATTATAACCTTTTCATAAAAAAGGAAACATTGTTATCTGAATAAAAAACAACGACTTGTATGGTAAAGGGAAATATCAAATTAATTGAGTTCTGTTCATCAAAGTTTATTACCACCTTTACACCTATCACAGAAATGTAATGATGCATTTCTTACAAGGAGTAATTTTTCTTAGCCTATTTTTTAGAAAGTTATAACAAATACCTTCTTGAAATTCCTGCAACACTGCTTTGGCAGTTGGTTTTTCACCAGGAACATCACCTTTTGGCGGTTTTTGTTGTTTATCTTCAGCCGATTTGGTCGGCTCAATGACTTTTACATCTGGGTTCAGGGGATCAGGTTGCGATTGCGATGAAGATTTGACTTTTTGGTCATTTGAAACTTTGTCTGAGCTTAGAGATCTCACAGAGTACAAAAGTGTACGATAATGCACAACAACACTTTTCGTACAGCCATTATGAAATGGTTTACCTGCAAAAAATACACCTCATTTACAAGATGGCATAGTTTACTCATTGAGCAATAAAGATCACAATAGATTGTCAAGAAGTTAGAATGTATTTTCTTTAAAACTACTAAGTGATTTTTTAAATAGGCTACTAAAAGAAGATTGACTGCTAAATTCATCAAATATGTAGCCTAGGTCCGGTAAACATAATTCAGTGATTTTATCATCCTTGTAAAAGCTTTTCCAACACCACAGTTAATTCCTTATAGCATGTTTTTGTATTGGCCTAACATGTCATGTGTATATGTCTAAAATTAAACAATTTGAGACAACTTTTAGAGACATGTAGTGCCCTCAAATTGTTTAATTCACTTTGTGTAATTAATCCAAAACATACCAGTGGAAATTTCCATCACAAATTGTAAAAAACAAGAAGGCGAACTCAGTGTCAAACGACAAACTTCATAATAATGGAGTGCTAGCTTAAGTTATAGAGTTATTAGAGTTAACGATGTACCAATTTAGTATAACAGTAGTTCTCGATAAATATGTATGAACAAGCATCAGCAGTCACAACAATTCAAACAAAAATTGTTCCTCAAATACCTATCTTGGAGAGTAAAATTTTATTTAATATACACGTTTTTTTATGGCTAAAGAGAAATTGTAAACAATTTCATAACTTACTTTTAGAAACCTTTGGTTGAACTGGTTCCAAAAATATTTTGGATGTGTACTGGTAAAGGATTTTCCTTGCAATATCAGGCCTTTTCATCATCTTTCCTGAGAACATGAAGACTGTCTATCTGGCTAAAAAGTACAAAAGCAAAATGGTTAATACACACTACACTATGGGATACAGATAACTTACAAATGTTCCATTTTCAATGTGATTCAGGCCTTCATTTAATTTGTGAGCTTAGTTGATCATTGAATATAGAAGTATGTTTGCCTTGAATAAACTATTATCATCAAAGCTGTTTTCTGTCCAAAACACAAAACTAAAAATTTACAAAACTGTGATTCGTCCAATTCTGCTTTATGGTTCTGAAACATGGACTCTGGACAAAAGTACTGAAAAAAAAACTTGTCACCTTTGAAAATAAAGTACTAAGAAAGGTTTTTGGACCAACAAGAGAAAATGGTGAATGGAGGATCAAACATAACAGAGAAATTAGAGACCTGTATAAAGCACCAGATGCTGTGGCGGAAGCAAAAGTCGACGAATAAGATGGCTCGGACATGTGTTAAGGAGAGAAGATGATGCATTGATAAAGAAAGTTTGGAAAGAGAACCCTGTTGGAAGAAGACCTGCTGGGTGTCCCAAAATGAGGTGGAAAGATGAAGTGACCAAAGATATGAGGAAGATAAGAATCATGGAGGAAGATGCTGAAGATCGGAAGAAATGGAGGCATTCAGTTGGCGAGGCCAAATACCACCTTGGGTATCGATGGCCATGGGAGTAAGAGTAAGTAAGTAAGTTGATCATTGAAGGCTATACATAAATTGCATTTAGTATTGGCTGTGTCATGACATACAATTGTCAGAATATAGCTAAGTATAACAAAACCTAACAACAGAAATAATACAACAGAACAAAAACTCCACTATTCCAGTTTAAAACTTTTCCAGGCACTGCCAAAACAACTCAAAAGTATCAAAAAAATCTTAAAAATTTAAAACAGAAATCAAATTTTTTCTGACAAAGAATTGTTTTTATGATTTGGAAGATTTTCTAAATTTCACAAAACAGAGTCCTTTGGCCTAGAATGTTATTTTCATATGAGTTATTTTTTATTATTATTGTTAGGCTATCCCTATTGACCTGTCCAATTCCTGCCTCTGGACTAGGCACGAAAACTACAAGTTGGACCAAAGAATAAGGCTATATTTTGACAAGTTTGATAAGTTTTGATTATATTGTTGTTATTTTTCTGATGGATCAATGTTATCTTATAATAAATAAAATTTTGGCCACGGATGATGGACTGGTTTTTTATTTAGTCAATATTAACATATAACTTATCATAAAATATGATAAATATTTTCTTGGCTTTGTTATCTATGTCCAACTTTTATCGAAGCAGATTTATAAGGCATTTATTATTCAGTGTGAAAATACTGAGGAGTACTTGGTACTGGAGGACCAAGATTTACTCAACTGACCTACACCTTTTAGCGAATTTCCCTATAGGGAAAAGGCTATTACCGAAGGTGGCACTATTTAATCGTCGGTCTGGTTCCGTTGCACAGCTTGGGTGGATTTAAGTCTCACATTAGTATTATTGGAGTTCCTTCTTTTAATGACAGTAATGAGGTGGGTTAATGACAAATTGGGAGGTATTTGAATACCTGAGATAGCATGCACGATTATTATTCACTGAATAATTTATGTTAGATTGTGTGGGTATAGGCCTAGAAGGAAAGATAAAAATATTGAGGCATTGCCATCCCTTTTATTGTTTATAATACCCTTTGATAAAGGTTTTTACTTTTCATGTTTACATATTTAATAGTGGAGAATTTAAACAATGTTGAGTGCACAGGTGTGCTGCGATTGGGGTTAAATATACTCGGACTTATCCAAAAGTAAAATAGTTTTCTGTGTTGCATTCTGTGGAAACAGTGTGGCACTATTTCAAATCACGACTAGTAGAGAATGTTGTGATTATTCAAACCTACAAAACAGTTGGGGAAAGTAAACATCTGCTTTTAAATTATATTTATTTGTGAACATTGTAGTTCGGTCACGTTAATCGCAAATTCCAAAAATATTATTTGCCCTGCACCTGGTTTTTGTACCTTCACAGAACTCGCCAGTTGGTAAAACCATGGTAGGCTTATGGTTTTTTCACCATCAACTGTTTTAAGATTTTAAGATCTCTTACAGCAATTTTGAATTTCTGTTCTCCACACAATGTTGGAAGTTTGGATGGACTAACTTGTTTTAAGTAGACTTATTTTAAGTACCGGTAGCCTAACTTTAGATTTATCAAATTGATATTTCCAGATCCTGTGTTTATAAGAAGGCTTAACTTAGTTAGATAGAATGTTCCTTGGCTATTTGCTATAAAATGCACTTTGGTGTTCATATGATCTATGTTTGGTTTAAGACTTGCTGGTTTCATAGAACAGGGCCTAAAAGAGCTGTTTTTAATAAAATTAAGGTACACCTTCTTTGGTATTGGGGTACAGTTTCTTAGCTGGGCTACGCTAATATCAAAACTAATATTTGCCGTAAACAAATAAATAAATTAATATCGATTGAAAATATCGATACAATTAGTAAAGCTTCATTCGATTTTTTTCATTATCAGCAAGTTTGGTTGGTTAGGTTACTTGTAATAGTTTCGTTTCATAATTGATATAATAGCCTAGCCTAGGTTAATAAGAAAATTAAATGAGAGACTGTACCCTTGGTAGGCCTAATGTGCATAAATATAGGCTACAAATTAGGCCTAGCTTAATTGGCAAAAATAATATGATCACATAACTTACAACCAAATGACAATATACCTAACTCTAAAATTTGTAAAGGTAAAACTGAACTTATACTACTTATGATATATTGAACTTTTTTTGCCTTATCTACCTGAATTAGACCATTTTAAGCACTTTTTACCATTGGCACTTTTGGGGGAAACCCCTATTTCACCCTGAAAATCGTGTTTGAAAATCAATAAAAATGCTAGAAATCTATGATTTTATACGCATGTAAAACTTTTTGGGTACAATTTCTTAACTGGACTAACTTATGCTAATATCTATTGAAACTATCAAATTTAAATATTGTTTAATAATCAATATATTTACCAGCTATATCAGTTATGAAATTAAACTATCATAACCTAACCTAACCAACCAAACTTGCTGATAGTGAAAACATCGAATGAAGGCTTAGGCCTACTAATAATCGGTATTAGGCCTATCATAGCTAAGTTAAGAAACTGTAGGTAGGCCTAGGTACCCCAACTTCTTTTTACTAAGTACGTGTCAATAACTTAATACTAACCTAACCTAGCATAACCAGGGTTTTTACTCAAAATTGGTCATTTTGGCACATTGTAAACCTAAGCATGGGTTAGGTTGGGTTAGGTTAGGTTAGGTTAGGTTAGGTTAGGTTAGGTTAGGTTAGGTTAGTTTAGTTTATTATAGGCCTATATTTAATTTGGTTTACCCAAAAATGGGGTAATTTTTGGTACTTTACTATTTTTTACGATTTTCAAACCTGGTTTCCTGGGTAAAAACGGCAATTGCCAAAAAAGAAAATGGACTAATAATTAAAAAAAACCCCACCCTAAGTTAAAAAGAAAATTGTCAAGCCCCAAAAATCATTGATTTCTAGCATTTTTATTGATTTTCAAACGTGATTTTCAGGGTGAAATAGGCGTTTCCCCCAAAAGTGCCAATGGTAAAAAGTGCTTAAAATGGTCTAATTTAGGTAGATAAGGCAAAAAAAGTTCAATATATCATAAGTAGTATAAGTTCAGTTTTACCTTTGTAAATTACAATTTGTAATCATGGATATAAATAATTTTGGGATATAGGCCTATTTTGATTTTATTAAACATAGGCCTATGTATTGGTAAAATTACCAGGCCTGGGACCATGACGAAATTACATTTAGGTAACATACCTATAGGCCTACCAACTATCGAGCTTGAAGTCTTGGAAGGTTCTGTCAATATCCTGTACAGTTAAAAAATAAACAGATTAAAAATCTATAATTTTTTAGAAAAACTTATCATGAAGAGAAAATTAAGATAGCAGAAAAACAATAACACCTATAACACACACAGAACCGACAACAGACAAGTCGGCAGAACAGAACAACACAGAATTTCTTTTCCGTCGTCTCTAAGCCATCATAAACAGGCTAGCATTAACACTTTAGCATGAAGCTGCAATTTACATGATTATAAAATATTCTTATTTTTTCAATCAATTATCTTAATGTGTTTTAATAACCGTTGATTTAGTTATTGGCTATTGTTTGCAGTTGGATTTTTTGAATTATGTTGGACAAATCTTAGGATCTTACTTGTCTGGATACGTTACTTTCCTGTAGATTGCCTTATTTATTAAAAGATTGCCTTTGCTTGAAATGTCTCTAGGCTTTTGACGGCCTGTAACTCAACCCAGCTGTTCTTGATCATAGGGCTAGTAATAAAATCAAAATTTCATTGTGGTGTGAGTAGCCTCCGGATTGCGAATGATGACTAGTAGTCCAGGCAAACTAAACAAACTTACATAGGGACCGTTAAAAAAATTGCAAGAAAACGTTTTATGGTTTTATTTTGTAGAGTTGGGTTTGCAGAATGACATACTAAAAGTTGCCAAAAATCGGTGCACGAGAAAACCACTAAAATCACAATTTAAAATGGCGGCTTTTTTCAACATTGGACAAATTTAAAAAAAACATATTTCACATGCATTTGCTATGCACATTTTTCGAGATATTGACTTGGGACCACCGCCTGTATTTATTGAGTGGTTAGTACTTCATTTTGATAGGGAATATGTTTTTGGCCGCCATCTTGGATCCGCCATATTGGACATAGATAATTTTTTTTCAATGTAATGATAGTGTTGTGACACATCATTACCAACTACATTTTTACACTGATTTCAATGCCGAAATCCGTTTTTAAATATCTTTATTCATTTAGAAGATATATACAAAAGAAAACTCTGCACCATACATTTCTTATGGACGTTTCGTAGTTTGATATTTTTTTTAAAACTATTTTTCTTCTATCTCCAGTTCTTATTAACGCTTGTAGTTCGTTCTAGGCTTAAAATATTCAGTAATGTAAGGGCTTTCATTTGAGCTCTTGATCATTAAAATCAGACGAGTTAAAGACCTGCTACGAACCTCAGAACAATATTAAATTTAACTTTTTAGAAATATATTTTTATTAAAATATTTATAACTCGGGTTGTTAATACGTCACCAAGTTCTTTCTTGTCTCAAATTACTCAGTGAATGTTTAGCTTTGATTTTATTAATCACTAAACAAAATCTGACAAATTTAAAAATGAGCCATGGACCATAATTTAACATTAAAATGTATTTATTTTGAAATTTGTCTTTATTTAAGGACATATATCCCAAACCCTTATAACTCCTGGAAAGTAATCCATAGCTAAAATAAAAGTCAATATTTTGGCGAATTATTTAAGACTATAAAGAGTTTTGGGAGTTATTTAGAATTAGGAATATACGTCTTTAACTAAAGACAAATTTCAATATAAATACATTCTAATGTTAAATTATGGTCCATGGCTCATTTTAAAATTGTCAGATTTTGTTTAATGATCAATAAAATTAAAGCCAAACATTTACTGAGTAATTTGAGACCAGAAAGAACTCGGTGACGTATTAACAACCCGAGTTATAAATCTTTTAATAAAAATATATTTCTAAAAAGTTAAATTTAATATTGTTCTGAGGTTCGTAGCAGGTCTTTAACTCGTCTGATTTTAATAATCAAGAGCTCAAATGAAAGCCCTTACATTACTGAATATTTTAAGCCTAGAACGAACTACAAGCGTTAATAAGAACTGGAGATATAAGAAAAATAGTTTTAAAAAAAATATCAAACTACGAAACGTCCATAAGAAATGTATGGTGCAGAGTTTTCTTTTGTATATATCTTCTAAATGAATAAAGATATTTAAAAACGGATTTCGGCATTGAAATCAGTGTAAAAATGTAGTTGGTAATGATGTGTCACAACACTATCATTACATTGAAAAAAAATTATCTATGTCCAATATGGCGGATCCAAGATGGCGGCCAAAAACATGTTCCCTATCAAAATGAAGTACTAACCACTCAATAAATACAGGCGGTGGTCCCAAGTCAATATCTTGAAAAATGTGCATAACAAATACATGTGAAATATGTTTTTTTAATTTGTCCAATGTTGAAAAAAGCCGCCATTTTAAATTGTGATTTTAGTGGTTTTCTCGTGCACCGATTTTTGGCAACTTTTAGTATGTCATTCTGCAAACCCAACTCTACAAAATAAAACCATAAAACGTTTTCTTGCAATTTTTTTAAGGTCATATCCTATATTTACCCGACTATAGTGATAGTGGTTTAAATACCTTATTCTTGCAATCCGATTGTTGTCTTCACAACTAGTTTCAATCTGCTAGGAGGTCATCATCAGGTGTCTACAAGGATGATATTACTTCATATGAAGGTCGTCAGTAACAGTTTTTTTACATTTACACAAACACACGACGAATAAACACATAGTGCGCACACATATACGGCCGATAAAATATGACATCGAACTCGACAAGCGGACCCGTGTTGAGAATGCGGAAGTTGCGCGTGTTTGTGTAAATATAAAAAAAAACTGTTACTGACGATCTTAACATGAAGTAATATCATCCTTGTTCACACCTGGGGCCCATTTCATAATTAAGTACAAACTAATATTATTAGTAAATCAGCTGATCGCCCAATGCAAATCTAATGGAAATTACAAGTTACAAGTTGTGACTTGTATCTTGTAGTTTATTATGAAATGGGCCCCTGATGATGACCTCCTAGCAGGTTAGTTGTGAAGACAACAATCGGATTGCAAGAATAAGATATTTAAACCACTATCACAAAATCAAAATGAGCGCGTTCTGGGAACATGCACCGGTGCACCGGTGTTGCCCCGGTGCAAAAAATGTGTCGTTCTGGGAGACCGGTGAGTTAACCTAGCAGACAGTTATTTCCTCTTTTTCCTCAACCGGTGCAAGATTTATGCACCGGAGAAATTGTACGGTGCATAATACACCGGCGGCCTCTGATTGGTCTGTTTCTTGGACAACAGCATGCAGCTACGGGTCCATCGAATAATGTTCATCAGTTTTATAGGTTATGCTGCGTAATGAGTGAATAATTTATTCTATGAGGGGGTTAATTACGTATTAAGTGAATAATTTTTCAAATAATTTATTCTGTGAGGACAAGTTTGTTTGGTTTAAATATTATAAAGTAAATAATAGGTGAATATGTAAATTATAATCCGATGTGTACCGTAAACCGGTGAATAACCGTTCTGGGATACCAAGACTCTTGCCCCGGGGCGGTACCGGTGAGTAAGTCACCGGTTAATCTACACCGGTGCACCGGTACATGTTCCCAGAACGCGCCCATTGATGTAACGATGTAACTGAAACAACAGATCAGTTTTTGACTACAAAACTGTCATCGTTGTGGGATATGGATGGGATATGCCAGACAATTCTAAGAAAACTCAACCTTTGATGTGTCGATTGGATTGATAATATTGGTTTTTTTATAACACCAATATAAAAAATAACACATTTTCCTTTAAAAAAAGCAAAAAATCTTGGCTATGTCGACAAATAAAAAATAATCAGTGACAAAGCTGAGATTGTTAAAAGCTGCGTTCAAGATATTCCGCACACTGTTTATTTCCTATTCGATCTCGGTATTTACTCAGGGGAGGTATAGAAGAGGCTACGATGACAGCTGAGGGCTTCTTATTAGCTGAGGGAACGCCATTACCGTAACAAAACGGTAAACAGCCATCGGCCTCGGTGGTCTATTGGTTAGCGTGCCGGGCTGATTACCATATTACCATATTACCAAAGCTGCGTTGTTGACCAGCATAGCTGGATAAACTGCGTCAATTTTTTTTTTAAATATAAATATTAATTATTTACAACAAAATAAAACTTGTATCTTTCAAGAAAATAAATTTGAAAGTTTCAAAAATAAAAATAAAAACTTGGCGGGTGACTACGGAAGTGATTGTGCACTCTACCATTTGTCCTCAAAATACTCTCTCACGGAGTAGTATGCTCCTTGAAGAAGCCTATCTCGCACAACCCTGGCAAACTTTTTTTCTGGAAGACTGCTGATCTCTGGGGGGAGCTTGTTGAATAACTTCCAAGAAAAGGCAGGAAAACGGCGCTGTGTTCCCGTGAGGCGGAATCTAGGGATGTCAATTTTGCATCTGCTACGTGTATTATAGCTGTGAACATCTCCTCTGGTCTTTAGTAGCTCAACATTCGACCTGACGTGTACAAGGGAGGAGAATATATACTGACCAATAACAGTATGCACCTTTAGCCTTCTAAAGATTGGCTTACAGTGTTCCAAAGGAGCGCTAGATGTTATGGTTCTCAAGGCAGATTTTTGTAGTCTGAGCACTTCATCACACCCTGAAGCATGGCCCCAGAGAAGTATGCCGTAAGTGATGTGACTATGAAACAGTCCGTGGTAGATGTTTATAAGAAAGGCATCACTTAAGTTACTCTTTAGCCTACGCAGCAGAAAGACAACTCTAGATAACTTTTTGCATGTTTCGTCAATTTGAGGTTGCCAACTCAATTTCCTGTCTATGGTGAAGCCTAGAAGTTTAACTTGTTGGGGTTGGTGGTGTTGTGATACGGCCAAATCTTGACTTAAACTGCAGACAATCTGTTGTGTTTTGTCGGCATTAACTTGAAATTTGTTATTTCTAAACCATATCTCCGCCAAAGCGAGGTCAGTAGCTGCCGCATCTCTGATTCCGTCCAAGCTCGCTCCTCCCCTAATCAGTGTGGTGTCGTCTGCATAAAGGAGAGCTTCCTCCCCACCACTGAAGTCGTTTATCATTAGGAGAAAGAGCAGAGGACCCAGAATTGATCCTTGGGGGACTCCATGTTCAACCAAAAGTTCACCAGAGGAAGCACCCCTAATCACAACAACCTGCTTCCTACCTCTCAAGTACGACTTGAAGGTTTCCAGTACGACACCAGTCGCTCCATAACATTCAAGCTTTCCTAAAAGGATGTCATGTGAGACAATGTCGAAAGCCTTACTCAGATCTAGGAGTGTCAGACTAATTGACTCTTGATTCTCAAACGCCTCAGATATCCTTTCAGCAACTCGAAGCAAGGCAGTTGAAGTCGAGCGGCCCCTCCTAAAACCGTGCTGAGAATCCGAGAAGAGTTCATTCTGGTCCAGATGTTCAACCAGTTGATCGTACATGACCCTCTCAAAAACCTTAGATATCACAGGAAGAATAGCGATTGGACGATAGCTGGCGATAGAGGCCCTGTCACCTTTCTTATAGACTGGCACGACTCTTGCGGTCTTCAATTCTTCAGGGAAAATCCCATGAGCCAGACAGGTGTTAATAACCAGGGTTAAGGGGTCAGCAATATCATCAATCACACCCTTCAAGACTTGAGAGCTCATTCCATAGATGTCCACACTGGTGGAAGAACGAAGACTGGAAACAATGTGCCTCACCTTTTCTGCCGTCACTGGCCTCCATAAGTTGAGTGGTAGTCCGACAGTTAGACCAGCTATGTTAGTGATTGCGGCTTCCGTTTGTGGCATACTTCTTACTACCTGTGATACAACATCGATGAAATAGTTGTTTATTTCATCAGGACTGTCCTCGCAACAAAAATCAACTGTCTTTTTACGCAGGCCATTTGCAATACTCCATGCGGCTTTGCAGGGGTTGTGAGCTTCAGAGATAAATTTTTCATTTGCAGCCTTCTTGGCATTACCGACCATGTTGATGACCATGATGTTCTATAGGTCCCGGGTTCGAATCCTGCTGACAGCATTAACTTTTTGTCCAAGATTTTTTTATTATCAGCAAGTTTGGTTGGTTTGGTTTGGTTATTAAAGTTTAATTTTATTATTAAGTCATTATAAAATTTTAACAATTAAACAATTTCTAGTTTTATTTAATAAAAAGAATTATTTTTCCGATTACTAAACTTTTGTTATATTATTTCTTTATCAGCAAGTTTGGTTAGTTCGGTTAGGTTATGATAGTTTAATTTTATAATTAAAAAATAGTAAAATTGAATTTGAGGCATTTATAATTTTATTTTATGAACAGAACTATTTTTGCGACTAGTAAACCTTCATTGCCAAAGTGCTCTCTACTACAACGCTGTTCACGGATGAATTTTGAACTAAATGCCTCATTTGTACCTCCCCTAAGGCAGACCCTTCGATCTCTTTTATTTCGACCGGTTTCCTTCTTCTTTTCTCTTTGTTTTAGACTGGACTAGTGGACTGTCGTGTCGTCATCATTCTGTTCTTCTCTTCTGTAGATTTAAGACCTATCACCTATAGACTACTTGCTTCTTCGTTATTCTTGTTCGTTCTTCTTGTTATGTTCATTAAGTTGTATATACCTATGATTAATAAATCCAATAATATTTCGGAACCAACACAACTAAGATAGAAATTCACGATGTATTGTTTAAAGATTATGGTTAGCCCTAACTGAGGAATAAAGTAACATAACATCATCTAATAAAATGAGGGACGTGTATGATCTTGCAATAAGAAACTTGAACTTGATAAAACTTTAGTTGGCCACTTCTGATCTTACAAATTGTCATAAAATGAAAGGTAGGCAGTAGCAGAGTCCTTTTTTGCATAGTTAGGCCTAAGCTGCAGCTAATAGCCCTAAACTTTTACCTTTTACCTAGGTAAAACCTATATTAAACATTTATGTAGTAATATAGGCTATCTTTTAGAAAGCCTAATGTTACCATTTCAATAAGTTTGTTGTTTGTTGTAAGTTTATTGTTGTTGTAAGTTTATTGTTGTTGTTTTTGTAGGCTGCACTTTACTTGACGTCCTACACTCATTCGAATGAAAATATCGATCGATATATCGATTAATCGATTGCTTCATTCGATATATCGTTTGGTTAGTTAGGTAAGGTTAACCTAACCTAACTAACCAAACGATATATCGAATGAAACAATCAAATGAAAATATTGAATCGAAAAAACAATCGAATGAGTGTAGGACGTCAAGTAAAGTCAAGTAAAGTGCAGCCTTTTTGTATAGTTTTTTAATTATATCCTTCTTTCAATTAATTGTGTTCTTTGCTAACTTCTAATTTCATATTAATTATCTTGTTGAAACCCAATTGTAAAATGGTGTTTGCCGTTTATGTGGGGTAGCGGATTTCTCCCCCCAGATATTTACCCCCATGAAAAAACGCCTACGTAATTTTGACGTCACGAGGGGCGGGGCTTATACACGTTCGAGAAACAGCCCGCGACTGGAAATCTACCCCCGGACATCTACCCCCAGACATCTACCCCCGGACATCTACCCCCGGAAATCTACCCACCGTGGTCAGCTCTGCCACGTATCGGCCAATTCATTGTTGTAATTGATTTTATTAATTGCTTTATGTAAATCAACGGCTCTTCGGTTAATCATTACCCACTAATATCTAGTATTAAGCATGTGATATGTCATTGCCTTGTTTAACATTATCTATCTTCCTAATAAAATAAGCTGTAACAGCCCTTTTTCACCCGAACTACTTCACTGATATTTATGATTGAGGTGTAATTTTAAATCTTAAGATCCAGCGCAACGCAAAATGGTATTTATAACTATATATTGATAAATGGCTTCAAAAGTGTGACCCTTGAGCATTTGATTTATTTTCAGACAGTGATTTAAATGGTTGACCAACTTTCACATACAATAACAGCTAACGGCGCATGCACGAGCGCAGATCGGAAGTGTTTATCACAAAAGATTGACCAATACGATTTTAATATTATTTAAAGGTTCTTCCAAAAGAAGAGAAACCAGTTAACATTGTAATAATAACTCTTATGACGTACGGTATGGGAAATATTTTATTCATTGAATGATCAACCATATTTTGTAACTAACACAATAGTCATTATTGCAATTACACGTATTACTCATCATAAAAGCTAAAGAGCTAAATGCTCAAAATTTTTATTACTTTAATCTATTTATCGCAGTTATATGAATTAGCATAAGCCTTGAAATTAACCGTCAATGTCGACGGGTTTCACCTAATTCTGTTCTGTATACTACTTTAAAATGGCTCATTTTACAGGCAGGAAACCTGCTTATTCACTTCCTATATGGTATTCTTATGAATGAATCTTTTGAACACTTGTTTATAGACATAACTTGACAAGTTTTGTTTTAAGGCAGGATTTTCCAATAAGACTTTACATTCTCTGAATATGCGAATTGGGTATATAGGCGTATCGTTGATATATATTAAAAGATATTAGGCTATGCTTAAAAAATTGAATGTGGCCATTATTTTGAATTTTAAAAATTGTCTTATTTGAGGTCTTTAAGAGAAAATTCTTTAAAATCCTTTCTTAGTACGCATTTAAAATCTTAGAAACTAAATTTTTTTACTAAGTTTACTAGGTGATATGAAAAATTTACCTTTATACACCAGACTTTTATTGATCCTCTTTCTCAATTTAACAGTTTAACTGAGTTTTGGTTTACTAAACAATTAACAACTTATTATTACTACTAGGCCTACATTGAATAAACCGGAAGTTCACTACAGTTTATTCACTTTACCCTTTAAGAAATGTGTGTGAAAACAATGGTTCAGTACGATGTAACACTTGACCATGTGAAAAGTGCGCAATATTATATTATTTTCATAACTTTTTCATCTCCTTTTTACAGTTGCAGACGATCTATTCATGTTTTCACAACCTGACTTAAAAATTGATCTGATGAGTACTACTCACATTTCACTTTTAAACTGTTACTGTATAGTGCAAAAGTTGGTCAACCATTGGAATAAATCAAAGGTCAACCTTTTGAAGCCCAAGCCCTAATCGAAATATCCTTTTTAATTACCGTACCATTTTGTGCTGCGCTAGATCTTAAGCTTTTAAATGACACCTCAATCGTAAAAATCAGTGAAGTAGGTTGGGTTGAAAAGGACTGTTACAACTTATTGAATTATAAATATAGATAATTTTAAAACAGACATCGACATATCTCATGTTTACTAGCCTACTGGATATAAGAAGGTAAAGCAATTTATAAAATCAATTACAACAATGAATATTGGCCGATACGCGGCAGAGCTGACCACGGTGGGTAGATTTCCGGGGGTAGATGTCCGGGGGTAGATGTCTGGGGGTAGATGTCCGGGGGTAGATTTCCAGTCGCGGGCTGTTTCTCGAACGTGTATAAGCCCCGCCCCTCGTGACGTCAAAATGACGTAAGCGTTTTTTCATGGGGGTAAATATCCGGGGGTAGAATTCCGGCGACCCGTTTATGTTCAAAAATAAAATAAAATAAAGTGATTTGTGACACTCTAATAGAGAGAGAGTGGGATCGAGCAATTGATAATTTTCTTTTTAACTTAGGGTGGGTTTTATTTTATTATTGTTCCATTTTAAACACTTTATTGGCAAATGCCGTTTTTACCCAGGAAACCAGGTTTGAAAAATCGTAAAAAGTAGTAGGCCTAAAGTACCAAAAATTACCCCATTTTTGGGTAAACCAAATTAAATATATAATAAACTAACTTAACCTAACCTAACCTAACCCAACCCAACCTAACCCATGCTTAGGTTAACAATGTGCCAAAATGACCGATTTTTGGTAAACCCTGGTTATGCTAGGTTAGGTTAGTATTAAGTTATTGACAAGTAGCAATAAGAAGTTGGGTACCTACCTACAGTTTATTAACTTAGCTATGATAATACCGATTATTAGTAAACCTTCTTTTGATGTTTTCACTATCAGCAAGTTTGGTTGGTTAGGTTAGGTTATGATAGTTTAGTTTTATGACTGATATGGGAAATATATCGAATGAAACAATATTTTAAATTTGATAGTTTCAATAGATATTAGCATAAGTTAGTCTAGTTAAGAAATTGTACCCAAAAAGTTTTACATGCGTGTAAAATCATTGATTTCTAGCATTTTTCTTGATTTCCAAACACGATTTTCAGGGTGAAATAGGCGTTTCCCCCAAAAGGGCTGCACTTTACTTTAGGTCCTAGACTCATTCGAATGAAAATATTGATTGTTCGATTGTTTCATTCGATATATCGTTTGGTTAGTTAGGTTAGGTTAACCTTACCTAACTAACCAAACGATATATCGAATGAAACAATCGATTAATCGATATATCGATCGATATTTTCATTCGAATGAGTGTAGGACCTAAAGTAAAGTGCAGCCCCCAAAAGTTCCAATGGTAAAAAGTGCTTTTAAAATAGTCTAATTTAGGTAGATAACCTCTTCACTTCCATTGGTAGGACATAGTATAACTTGGCTCTGACGTAAGTGGGCTTTTGCTGAAACCTCGTTGTGCGGTGCACTGTCAGGTTGGAGTCCTGGGCGTTTCTCCTGTAGGCGTGAAGGCTTTGGTTTCTCTTCAAATTTGCCGAGTTTGCAAGGTTGATAACTTCCAGGAGATATGTTGACAGTTAAGAGGTTAAGGTCTATAAAAGCTCTTCTATAGTTACAGCTACCTCTTGCATCAAGTCCCACCAGAGTAGGCCTACAAATTGCTTTCTTCTGAATTAGGGCCTTTGAGCACACGGTTCTAATTCACTTGACTTGCAGCGCACCATAGAACAATGCCATAGCGTAAATGGCTCTCATTAAGAGAGCTGCATGTAGTCCTGATGTTAACACTCTTCACTCTTCTGAGGGCGAAGATGGCAGTGTTGAGTCTGCTGCAGAGTTCGTCAAGATGGTATGACCATGACAGTGAGCTGTTGAGTACCACACCTAAATACTTCGTATCCTCAATACTTTCAATGTCAGGGAACGGACACCTCCTCCTTCTTAGGACCAAAGCTGAGCTGATTTGTCTTCTTTACATTGAATACGAGATTGTTCATATTATAGTAGCTTACTCTACTGCCATAATAGCAACGTAAGATTGGACTTCCAGGTCTTCTCTGTTTTTGTATGACATAAGTAGAACTGTATCATCGGCATACATTATAGTCTTGCAAAAAGGCTTTGTGTGTGCGGAAAAGTCTGCTGTGAAGAGGATAAAAAGCAGAGGGCCCAGGACTGACCCCTGAGGGACCCTCGACTTATTGGCAGTCTGTCAGAGTGTCAGATCTGATGGGGTTGTGGGTTCCATTGACACTTTGTTTGATCTCAACCACTTGCTCCCTCCCGACTAAGTAAGTTAGCTCTGAAGCCACCTCAACGCAGCATCCCTGAAACCTAGAACATTGAGTTTCTGAGATCACTCATTAAGCTTGACTGAGTTTGGGGGCTCTTTCTTCTGTTTTCTCTCGCTGTTGATGACTCTGTGCACAACTCTATTTTTGTTGCTTGATTCTACTATGTAGGTGGCATTTGCTTCCTTTCTCAGCAACCTAAATTTCATATCATATGATCTATTCAGATCTGTATCCCTGTCTTCACTTATTCCAGTCAGAATAAAAGTGTTAAGAGCATCTAGAAACTGTGCCTTGATCTGGCCAGCTTCCACATAAAAAACTTGCTTGATGGGTTTACAGGGCCCCAAACTTGTTATATGCCCAAGCTTTCAGGAGAGGACAGGATGAATTCAGATAAAGGGTCAAAGTCGTAATGAAACTGTTGTAGACCATCAGAGCTATCACACTCACTCATACACCATCTCCCAACCTTGCGCTGAAAGTTGGCCCTTCAGATCCCTAAGGCTATCGTTGTTTATCCGTCTGCAGGTTGTTGTGATGGTAGCGTTTATCCTTTGCTCCATATCCTAAACAATTGTACAGTGTGATCTGAAATACTAGTGGAAGCAACCTGGAAATCCACTTCATTTAAAATCTTTGAACAAATACAAAACATGTCGATTGATAAGGAGGTCTCTTTGGTGACACAGGTGCGTGGAAGATTTAACCTTGAAATGCTGCAAGACAAAAGACATTAACATTTCTTCAGTTGAAGTTGAGTTCTTTCAGTTGACAGTTCAAGGGAATCAACATTGAAATCTCCTACTGTCACAATAGTATTTTTTGATGAAACCCAACCGTCCAACACTGCTGTTACCGTCTTCAGAGCTGCGGGGTAGGAGTCTTTGTCTTTTCTTGGAGGTCCATAGATTCCTAAAATTTAGTGATTTGATCTCTTGTCGATAACATCAGAGAGGGCCACTATTTCACACACCAAAGGGGTACTCAAGTGTTTAATATCTATTGAAGCTATTTCTGTGGTTAAAACCTTCTTGTATGTAGATAGCGAATCTTCCCTTAAGGGCAAATGATTCATTCTCTAAATTTGATTACTTATATCAACATTTTGATGGAATATTGTTAAAACTATTTTCTGTACTCTGACATTCTGTTTGAATTTATGAAAACTATAGTAACTAACTATACTAGAGTGCTCGATTAGTAATGACAAGTTTACTGGTTCCATTGCTTTTTCACGGTTTGAAACCACACCCTGCAGCCCCTGATCATTGGGCTTTCAACAAATGGTCCTGGCTTAGAAACAGGTGCCAGTCTTAAGTTTAGTCAGTTTCAAAGATCCACCGATCATCTAACTCCATTCTACGCTCACCCTTCTTTCATATTCAGCTAAAAATAAGGTTTGTGTAAGTTAATGTAATGTTTGTGGATATTCCTAGCCTTAAATAGAACCCTCGCACCAAATCCTGAGACTGCTAACCACTGTGCTGGCAACACACACACACCATTCATGGTTCTAGGCACACATACACTATTCTAGGCTATATTCAGTTACAATGTTAAAGTTATGGAATTCCAGATTCATTTACATCTTTTTTATCCAATTCTTGTTAAGTTTGTTAACCCTTTGGGTGCCAGAAATTGTTTTTGGTACTTTCCGAAAAGTGCCAGAGTTTTTTACTAGGTATGTCCTAAAAGTGCCAGGCTTTCCATAGGGACGAAGCTTAGTGCGCAAGAATACAAATCAGTGAAAGTATAAATTTTCATCCCAAAAGTGCCAAGAAACCATTTATCGTGCCTCTATCGTATGAGAAATCGATTGAAATCATCGTTGTTTTAAAATAACAACCGAGTCAACCGGTATGCCCATTAAAACTCACATGATCAAAAGTAGCGCCAGCCCTATATATCGTTGCAATTTATTTTTGGTAAGACTACTGACGGCGATATATCGTTGTGAAGTATTTTTCAGATGTGTTGTGCAAAATGATATATCTTTGCATGGTACTCAAAGGGTTAAACATTTATTCTTGTTGATCATTGTTTTGCTTGTTAATATTATTGTTGGTCATGTATGATCCTAGTTATTAAGCTCCGCTATGTTTGTTATATGTTATGCAATCAGATGAAATGGTGTTGACCGTTGATAAATAAATAAATAAATAAGTAAATGTTACACACAAACTTAAATACCCCTGTCGCAGTAAACCTGCAGACTGAGCAAACTCCCATTTAACTTTCCTGGCTGGAATCATGGTGTAAGGAAAATACATAGCCTAGGTGTGCTATTCCCGTCATTTGCTGACGTCACCCAGATTGCAAACAAAAAATCAGCTGATGTATTAACATAAGTACCTATATATTTGTTTTTATTTGATCGTTATTGTTTTTATAATTTTTCTAATTGGTAAAATGCTGTTTGCAACCGAGTGACGTCAGCATATGATGGGAATAGCGCACACATGTATTTTCCTTCAACCATGGGCTAGAATCTACTAAAATTGGCTGTTCCCTTAAGATTGTCACATTTGTTTATATAAAAAAAACATGACTTTTAATGAGGTAACCGCTGTAATTGGGTTTTAATCTTTTTCAGATAGTGAAGATCAAGAAAGCTCTACAGTAGGTGATGGAAATAGGAAAACACAATGTAGCTATGGTGAAGGATGTTACCGGAAAAACCCATCACATTTTGAAGAGTTTGAGCACAGGCATTGTAATTTAATTATTTGATAGCTTTAAGATATGTGATAGTTCTGTCTAATGCTTTAAGTCTACTAAGACTATTTGTTGTAGGCAATAAATAATAAACTAGTGTACCTGTTGCTTGAATTCGAGCAATTGCTAAGTATTACAGGCGTTATTTTAAAACAAATATAACAGTCATAATTTCTGATGATTTTTAAATATTCGACTCAAAGATTATGGAAATACTCAAGATATACACAACAGATCGATATAATCAACATTTATTATGTATAGTGTTTTCTACAAATAGCCTTACTCATAGCTGCATTAGGTTTCTAGACAGATTATGTGTCCAAAAGCCTAACAGCACGACTCCCTTCCCCATACCACCCTGAGCGATAGGGATCCTTGAGATTCGCTCTAACCTTTCCTCTCCCCTTCATGGGCAAGTTTTCATTACTTTTGTTTCTTAGTTTTGTTTGTTTCTTTTTTTAAATTTTAACGCCTGTATGTATTCCTGGTTTTTCCTATATCCCTAGCTACTTTTATAAACTTCTCAATTGTTTCTTTGTCACTCATCATGTTTTATTTTCTAATCTCTAGACCTATCTTAACCAAGACTTATTCCTGTTCTCTCCTATTTGTCTCCTGAAGTGGACAATTTATAAACGTGACTCGTGGTTTTTATTTCTCCACATCTACATACTTCCTCTTCCACCATGTGAAATCTTCACAAATTCGCCTTGAGATTTTCCACGTCCTGTTACAAACTGCGTTTCATAATGGCCCATCTCCCTATCTTGTTCCGGTCTCTTTCTGATGTTAGGTATATAGCCGAACGTTTACCTTTAAAACGTTAACATAAAACACTATGCTCCCAACGTATTTGCCACTCATCTAATAATATCTCATCTCTTCTGTTTCCGATGTAGTCCTACCCGCCTCCTTGTCTTCCAAAATCAACAGCTTATGCAGCGATTATCCAACAGTCCTAAATTGAATATGAAATCTTCAGGCGGCTGTTGTGAGCACACTTAAACCCAACATGGAAGGGTGCTTGCTGTATTCGTCTATCTATCAACGACAATAGTATTACGTATTTGTATTTCGTTCACGTCTACCAGTTAAAGTTCGTCGGCCTCCTCCTATTGGCCGTCCTGGTCAATGTCTTATTATTATTACAGTCTCCAATCTCCATAATGTCGAACGTTTTTTTTGGTTATGTTTTGATTTTGTACAAAATTTTAGTATAACCAGCTGTTTCAAATTAAATTTCAAAGTATTCATCTGTTCCAATGTAAACAAACATTTTCTCCCTAAGAATAACATGAGAACTTTAAAGGCCACTGGGGCTGAGCCCTGATAGAATTCCAACGTTATTTTGTTTGATGGCAAAACTACATGCTAAGACCTTTCTAACGACACCTTGGACATGGTGATCGGTAGCACCACTACTCCAAAACAATTATGACAAAAATATGCGTAGCGTATTAAATATATAGATTTCCAGTGGAAATTATATATTTGTCCTTGAATTTTTATATATTATGAATTTTTATGTATATAATGGGTTTGACAAGTTTAAAACTTTCATACAAAGTAATAAGGATGTTCATGACCTGGTGTTAAGGTCTTTGGTTACTTTTACTCTGATATTTTTATACTCAATGAAGGTTTACTATTCACATAATTTACATCTTGTTCCATATATAAGATGTGTAAGATAAAATAGGTGTATTCTGAAATGCATCTTAAATTACAATGAATGTAAACAAATGCAAAGTGAACTTATAAAACATGACAACTATATATTTAACCAGCTGGCCCGACAGACGTCGTCCTGTCCTAATGTGGTCCTATGTCAAATGCTTGTTCATTTTTAAGATGAGCTCGTTCGCATCACTCAATCACGTCCTAATTGAATTGGTTGAATTGGTTAATTGGTTGAAGTTTGTTCGCTATGCTCACTCACCTATTGGCTTACTGCTACAGTGGTATAGCAGTTTTAAATGTACCAGCTGATGTAAGCATTGCATATTTGTTTGTTAATCTAAATGTTCTGTTTTTAGGTTAAGTTAGAATAGTAATGCAGTGTTGAAATGTATCGTGTTAGGGGAAACCGTGACTACGAAGGAGATTATTTAGGAATGGTGCACAGCATAAGGACAAATTAGGATAGCATAAGGACAAGGGGTTAAGGACAAATTACAACGGAGGTGAAGGGCAGCAATTGCTGGGATGGGCCCCTAGTATGGTATTTAATTATTTATCAGAATTTTACAGTAGGACTCGAAATATCCAAACTCCAACTAACTGAATCGCCAACCATTCAAGTTGCTTAAAGAAAAAAAGAAAAAAAAACTTGAACCAACAATTAATTAATGAGAATCATTATTAAAGAAGCCAGGATCCATGACACGACAAAATCCAAAAATCCTCCTGTGGTCGTGTAGACATTATCATTGTCTTTCCCATTCACAGAAACATGATCGTTTTCCTCGATTTAAAATCTTAAACATCTACCGTGATCATGGAAAATCACATTCGAATCCGCCGCAGTGGCGTCAAAAGCGTGAATTTTTTCCCGATTACAAAAATATTTGCAGACGCGTTCTGCGATCTCAATGGTAAAAGCTATGTTCAAGTAGTCTCATTTTCTCTAAAACAACCAGAATTGTTGTACAAATCCAACTTTCTGAATTTTTGATTATCAAATGCAATATAGTCCCAATTGATTTGGATTATTATAGTTCTACTGCAATAAATTTCAAAATATAATATTCAGACATACCTTTACTTGTATGTCAAACTTTACTTGTATGTTCAAGTATCAATAGTCTACTGTCATTAACTTGAATTATATTGAAAAATAAATAAATGTTCTCATACCACCCAAATACAGAGTAATACTCATGCAAATTAATAAACTTAAGACTAAACACAGTTTTCCTAAAAAAAACTCTTATTAATTTTTTTCAGCTAAAGTTCAATATGTTATGTTTCAGTGGATTTGATTTTGGAATCATTTAAAAGAACAGGATCAGACAAGTTACCTGACAATGTAAAACCAAGGATCAGTCCAAAGACTCTCCAAGAGCAGTTGGAAATTCTGAAGAAACTTTCGACCAACAAAGAATCTCCCTCTGTCAGACCAAACAATGCCGAAACAGGATCATCAAACAACACGAGGTAACTGTCAATCAATTGGTTGGTAAAGCAAATATGAAATAATTCAATAATTTATTAGTTTTGATAACAACCACTAAGTGTTATTTGGGGTTAAGTGTTCCCTTGGGCTTGTTATTTATCAATCTTCAAAATTTTCCATTCCCTAACATCTTATGGACTTCCAAAAAGCTTATGACAGCATTGATAGAGAAAGATTATGGTTACAGTTAAAAAAATTCGGGATCCCGAAAAAACTGATCAACCAGTCTAAAACTAGTGTAACTGGGTCTTGTTGCTCTGTGAGAATAAATGGACAAAACAGTGAAACCTTCAAAGTAAACTCAGGAGTCAGACAGAGATGGTGTTTCCCCGATTTTATTCCATATGGCCATGGAGGATACACTAAAGAAGAAAGCAGAAACGAACCTGGGTGTCAAAGTTGGAGACAAACTGAATGTGCTAGCATTTGCAGACGACGTAGCTATAATGGCAGAAAAGCTAGAGGACCTAACTACGCTGACCGATGTCTTCATAAGAGAAGCAGAAAAGATAGGGCTGAAGACAAATGATTCAAAAACCAAATTTATACACTTCACAAGAGACCAGAACTACACACCTCTCCTAGTCAATGGTCATGAATTTGAACAAGTTCAAGAATTCAAATATCTCGAAGTCACAATATCCAATAAAAATTCAGAAGAAATTGAGATTCAACACAGAATAAATTCAGTATGTTCATACGCATGCAATAGATTATTCCCATCCAAATCACTGTCACACAAAACAATAATTAGGTTGTATAAATCAATAGTTATTCCAGTTTTACTTTATGGATCGGAAACATGAATATAAAATAAGAAAGAAGCTAATTGTCTTTGAAAACAAAGTCTTGAAGAAGATACATGACCAAGGAGAGTGGAGGAAGAAACACAATAGGGAAATTAGAGACCTGTATAACAGTGCAGCAATTGTGAGTGAGATAAAGTGTAGAAGATAAGATGGGCTGGACACAAGATGAGAAGGGAAGAAACGTCTCAACTTGAGATTATCAGTAGAAATAACCCTGAAGGAAGGCTACCTCATTGGAGACCGAAACGGAGATGGTGGGACTTGGTCAAGTCAGATATGCATAGTTTTGGAGCCTCAGGACAGGTGGAATCGGAGAGGATTTGTTGGTGCGGCTAAATATCACCTGCGATATAGATGGCCCTGGGAGTAAGAGTAACATATTATGGTTTTTTAAGAACAACAAACACAAATGACTCCCAGTTATCAGATCTCTAACTACAGCGTTGATTTACTGATAACCCTCCAACGATGACCCATGTGTTCAGCCTGTCTCCACATTTCTCGGCGAGGTAGCCATACTGCTAACCCACTGGCGTTCAAGTAGTTTGTGGAATCTAACCTGCGAGCGCTAATCTCGTAATTTGCTTATAGGGCAATCAACCCATTCGGCCGACGGTGGCATGGTAGCTCAGTTGGCTAAGGTGTTGCACTGACGAGAGTAGCTTTGAAGTCTTTCTATATGTGCAGGTCCAAATCCCATAAATGTGCAATCAATATTGAGCTTATACTGTGTGGCTTAGCTGGTGTGGAGGTCCCACCTTAATTAAACGGTATCCAGCTTGGGTGGAAGTAGAAGGTATAAGGATTGCACACAACACTTGTTTTGCTTCTTTTTACATTTAAAGAGGAGAAGGACATGGAGTTTTATTTTTTTGGGTTTCAACGGTAAAAAATGGACATATCATCTTAGAATACATAAATTATTAAAGACAAAAGGATAAAATCTTAAATAATTAATTACTAAAGAAATTTTAAACAATTCTGACATCAATAAGTTAACTACTTATAGCAATCCATCCATTTACTTTATGAATAAACTTCATTGTTGAATATATTCAAGATTGTAGTTTTGATTCAGTCCTATTTTCAACAGGGATACAAGTATTTCTGATATCTGATGATCGTAGAGATAGCTTACTAAGTATATTATAGCAGAATAATATAAACTTCAATTCATTAATGAATAATGTTGACATTTTTGTATTCTGACTTAATCAGCTTTTGTCTTTGTCTGTGTAATTTATCAACATGTTTGGTTCTGATTTTATAACCCAATTAAATTGATTTAATATTAAGTTTTAATTCTTGTGGTTGATTAAGATTTATTTTTGTATGACCAACAGTTTTGGCCGGAAAAGATTAATCACGGCTGAAGGTATCCGAGACAGTCTCGACAACAGTCCTTTGGCAAAGAGAGAAAAAAGTTCCTCAGGGTCAAGAAATGATTCTGGAAACAACAGTTCTAACAACAACGATATAAAGAAAACTATGGCCACCCAATCAAGGTAAACTATATATTTTGTTCAAAATTTATCATTTTTTAATTCTTCTTTTACTACCTTATTAAAAAACATAATGGTAAACGACTTGTATTTGCTATTATAGACGAGTAGCTATTTCCAACGTCTTAATGGTACTTGGAACTGTTGTATGTTCTTTAGTCAAAAAACACTTTTGGTACACATTTTTTGTGGTGGGGCTTTTTGGTGGTTAAAAAGCAGGACTCCTGACCTGGAATTCTGCGTCCGATTCTGGCCAACCGCTAACGGCTCTGGGATTTTCCAGTGACCAGTTTGGAGCCCAACTCAAGTTGTAGATTCACATCTAGAAAAGAAATATTTTCTCTCAGATGGGAAAAACTGTCCCTTTATTGGAAAACTTTCCACTAAATGCCATTAGAGGTTAGCTATTGTTACACCAAAATATTTAATAATGACTGTCTTCATGGATCTAAAATTAACAGTTTCCAAGTCTGGGTCTTTTATCAGAGGCCTTTGCTGCTCTTCACCTGAGTTTTCTCCAGTTATATGTAGTCCAATTTCCCTTAGTTTACGTAATACATGAAATGGGGAAAATTCAACTTTTGAGTATTTTGACCAGGACAGATTTTTGGAGGAGGCCATTGCCTAGAATTTTGAGTTGTACCTACCCCCCCCCCATCGATTCATAGTTCAGTATCTAACATTTATTGAATGAAGGTGTACACATTGCAAGATAATTAATTGTATTTAATTGTAATGTAACCTTAATAAAAAGTAATAATTACCAATGTGCCATCACATTTTTAGGTCAGTATCAGTAACTAATTCTAATAAAAATCAGTTCTCGATACTGGTAACCTTACTACCTACAGTCGAGATTACATTTGTGAGTTGACAGGATTGTCAGAGAAAATCAGTGATGAAGATGAGATCCCAAAATATGCTCAAGAGTGTTTTGTGATTGCGAGAGACGATCAGCGGTGTCCCCGAGATCGCAAGATATGGCCACATTGAACCTTACTTAGTTTCTTGTCCTTGATTTAACTAGCCTAGCTTAATCAATAAGTAGATTTAGTTATAATTTAATTTACAAAACATTTCTCCGTAGCATTGAGTTTTTTCTGCAGCATCCCAGTCAGTAGTGAGGAGCACCGTAGACGCATGCAAGAATCCCGCAACATAGGAGAGGCCATGAAGTACATCCATGAGGCCAAGAAACGCAGCCAAGGAAAGATCTGTGAGAAGCTCAAGGCTGCTAGTCCATACAACTTCTTTCTTACATCCATCACGGATTCAAAGAAAACACATACGGAGCCCCTGTCACTGTTGATGCACGGTAGAGGAAACATGTGTACCATGTAGTTAAGGTTGTAAATTAGAGATAAGGATGTAAAATAGAGCCTAAATGTCTAGGTATTTAGGATTTCTATCAGGATAGCAAGCTGAATGGGAAAGAGTAGGCTACAATCTGGCTCAAGAAATGCAAAACTTGACATTATACACAAAAAATTAGAACATTTCACTGTCACTGACAGCATTCTCAACTACAAAAAGTGTGAGTTAAAAAGAGACATGTGTTCAGGCATAATTATCAGCTTATGATTAGCTTGTGATGTTTTGATGAATTTCTTCCAACAGTTACTGTCGTTACTGAAGTTGAAAACCACGTAATTCTAGATGTTAATGTTTTATCGTAGATTAATCTTGTTGCGTAATCAGACTGATTTCTGACTGTATTTTGTTTGCAGACATTTTAGACCCATCTCTGGGAGACTTGGAGTCCTCACTCCAAATCAACTTCATGGTAGAGTTTGGATGGCTAGTGGCCCAATATCATATTGCAGGGCAGAGGTCAGTAATGTTTAGAATGTTCAGGGTAACTTTTAAAAAGAAAATATATCAAATTAGTTTCATTTTTGGCTTATTGTATTGGTTCATTCATTACTAACCATAAACAATTCAGATGTGTTGTTCATAGTTATTAAACTGAAGCAGGACCCCAGTAAAGATATTAGGGCCCCACCTCCCCTTAAAGTATATGTTTAGCGGGGCCCCGGTAAAATAGCCTGGAAAATCTGGTCTGAGTACGGCCCTAAACTGAAATTGTAAGTAAAAGTTCAAAAGATTTGTTTACCTGATTTTATTGTTACCTGAAATTGAAATGCTCACAGAGTGTATGGGTACTGTCATGGGGTTATTGAAGTCCAGGTCGGTGAAACTCTTATCTGATCTAGTAGGTACTGAAGACAGAATTTTTGTATACAATTGCTGCTTAATTGATCCAGTTGTTTGTATGGTCTCACTTTATTATACACAAACACCAAAAGGTTGGTTTAAAACCTGCTACTATTAGTAGCGTGATGAAAACAATAATGTACTACTGACTACTATATATAAAAATAATGTTGAAATAATATATCATTGTTTTCAGGGGGAAACCAATAACATTGTTGTATGGTCAAATGGATGTTGCAAACCTGAGTTTTCCCAATGTTACCGCAGTTGAAATTAAATGTCCATCACCATTTGGTAGTCACCATACGTAAGTATTTTTTGCTATTGCTAATATCCTATATATAATTTAATATTACAACTGGACCTAGCTGTTCTTTATTATTGTGTTTTTAACAAATGGTAATGGCTATTACAACTGCTGTAGACACAATCATCTTCTTCAGCGATCGCTGCAAAATCCTGAATATTTCCTGCAGTAAAAGAAACATCTTGTAATCAAAATCTGAACATCTCTCACAATCCTGTTAACATCATCATTGTCTTTGACCACCACTGCAATATATTGAATGCTCCCATGGTCATGAAGACATCATCATCTCCTTCGATCACACAAACTTTGTTGTCATTGGCGATCATGACAAAAGTCTGATTTTTTTAAATCGTTGCAAACACGTTGGGCTCAAGCTCGATTTTTGGACTTGGTGTTCAAGTGCTCGAGCTTGTAGGCTAGACTTGCCCTTGCAAACCTCTAGTCCCTATCTTAGTTTATAATAACAATATGTCAAATACACTGTGTATGTACAGGGTGTTTACAAAAGAATGCTGGGATTTTAAATGGCAAATGCTTGGGTACTATTCAAGGTAACTAAACATTTATACGTCAAATTGAAGCTAAAACAATTAAGTTTGGTTTCCCATGTAGCAAGGGAGGGAAGATTTTGACCTTGGCATGCATAAAACTGGTCCGTGGTTGTAGGCTGCCACTGCAACTCACACGCCTGACGCCAGTCGCCAGGTAGCGCAACAGAAGGCACAGAGTTTAAATTGGTTGCTAAATTAAACTAAATTTAAATCTACTTGATGATGAAGAAATTTGACGCTGGTTTACTGAGTTTCCAAGCACTGCAGTGTTTTGAAAGGACATTCACCTGGCCGGCTAAAAACAAGTGATGACAAAGTTGAAGTAATACAACAATTTAGCATCAGAAGCCAGAAAAATAAATTGCCCGACACATTCTTCGTTTAAACATAACTAAATCGACACTTCATGATGTAATTTGTAAAGATTGAGTCTTTGTGCCTTCAAGATTCAGTTAAGACATCAGATAAACCCGCCAATCGCCCTAAGTGTTGAGACGTGCCAGTTTTACGCTTTAATACAAGATAGATAAAAATCACAATTTTATTAAATTGTTCTAAATTTTATCAAAGTAAGAGGAAAAACATTCTCTATATTTTGATGTCTAAATCGTTAAATTATCTTTAATAGTCCCCGAGCAACAGACGTTTCAAATACCGTAATTCTTTTATTAACATCCTGTATAATACCTTCTTAACACACTCACTCCCGTGTGGAGAGAAGCCTTACATACAGGGGAGTGTACTGGCTGGGACTGAGCCTGCTACAGTGACGGATCTAGAACAGCCACAAGGGGGGGGGCGAACCAGGGGGTCTGGGGGGTTCGGGGTAAACTAAAATTAAGTGTAAACTAAGTCTCCAAAATGTTAGTTTTATACCTTTTCTTTGTCTAAAGTTAGTGTGACAAATTATTTACGCAATTTCTATGCACTACTGTATTACATATAAATATAAATATATGCAGTAAAAAATATATGTATGTGTATGCATGAGGGGGGCCGGTCGTCCCCTTCGCCTCCCCTCTGGATCTGCCACTGGCTTGTTAACTCACTCACTCCCGCGTGGAGAGAGACCTTACATACAGAGGAGTGTGACGGCTGGGACTTAACCTGTTAATTGTAGTTCCATAACATACTCAAATAGTTAACTAACATCTTACACTCTTCCATGTCCAATGTTAACTCCCCGCATTTTCCTTCCTCTCCCTAAAAAAAAAAATCCAGTGTTACCGGTACCAATAATGACTAGGGTATGTAAATTAACGATTCAACTTGTTGCTTTACAGTAAGATGTGTGTGCTGGCGTATCGGGACGGCAGTGTGAGAGTCTGCGTACACACAGCCAACCTCGTAGAGTCAGACTGGGACAACAGAGCACAAGGAGTGTGGTTGTCTCCTCTGTGTCCTGCGTTGTCTCTAGACGCAGACTCTGCGGCAGGGGAGTCTCCCACAAACTTCAAGCAGGACTTGATGCAGTACCTGTCTGCGTACCGCCGCCCGGAACTGCAACCCTGGCTCGGGAAATTGCGTCGGGCCGACTTTTCAAACGTAAAGTGAGTTGCATCGATTAAATTAATAATGTGTATTTAACTGGTTAGCTAAGAGGGTATAGTTCTCGGCTACTAATTAGAATATTGCCTGTTTGATTCTAAAAAAAATTGAAAGATTTTTAATGGTATAAAACTTGACCCAGCTGTCATTGACAATTGGGTGCTCCTGTCTAAATAACCAGCTGAATTTAGTCAGTAGATCTGTGATCTCTGATCTCATTCATTTGAGTACCTATATTCATGAATATTTGTTATTCACTCATATTCTCCTTAAGTACACACCTTTGTGGATCCGCTACATATATATCTCAAATAATTTTGTCAAATGGTGAGTGGAATTGAAAATAAGTACAGTACATTTATGGTTGTATACTCATTTTTATGGTTAACTTTCAGTTACTGGTGAACATATTGTAAGAACCAAGGAACCAAAAAATTACCTTGGATATTGAACAACTAATGAATCAAAATAAGACAATACTGGCATTTCTGTGCTCTGTACAGATTTTACAATTATTTGCTAAATATATTTTTATGGACTGAAACATTGTTGACCATGAAAGTGACACAAATGGCATACTTACGAAAATCCAGTATAGTCTCATTTCAACCTCCTTTGTAAGCCTTGACCAATTGTGCATTGGCTGACATATTCTTATTCAAATGACAGTTTAGAAACTGTTTACTGTATCAACATAAAGACTATGCAAATGATTTTGCCTTTTTGGTCATTTCCTACTTAGTCATCGAGTAAAAAACTCTTAAAATAACAATCAATTTACTCTCACTGATAAATCAACTTTACTTCTATTTCAATAAAAGTAAAGATAACAGAAGTGTTACAGTCAAATAAATACATAGGGGATTTTCTTAATAAATTTGAACTAATTTAAGCCAAACAAAAGTGAGTACAATATTTTGAATATTGATTCAATTTAGTGGTAGCATTTGGGTGCGAGCCTTGACGTCACTGTCATTTTTTTTACTTTACATCTACCAAATCAAGGTTCCACCTCCTAAGTTGGGAATTACTTAGCTATTCACATTTCATAACAACTTTAATTTCCTATTTCAGTGTGTTCTTTGTGGCGTCAACCCCCGGCTCACACAAGGGCGTGGACAGAGACAAGTGGGGATTGCCCAAGTTAGCAGGGCTGCTTCGCACACACGCACGTATCAAGCCTCGTAGTGACGCCCCGCCACGCACCTGGCAGATCATTGTGCAATGCTCCTCCATCGGCAGTCTCGGACCGCAGCCCACGTCTTGGTTCTGTGGTGAAGTAAAATCAGCGATGAGCAACGGGGTGGGGATGGGAGTACAGTCGCCACCTCCCATCAGACTGGTTAGCAAGTTGAAATTTGTATTTTGCCACACTATTCCTGTTTTCATTAACTTTCCTCACATTCAGTTCAGAAAATCAAAACAAATGGAAGAAATTCCAATCACATGTTTTATTTACAGTGTGTAGTGGAAATAGATAATTCTGTACATTCCATTTTTTTGGTCTATTAACAATTAGACGACCTCTATTAACAATTAAAATTAAAAAGTAGATAGCAAATCACATCCGCGGTTTCAATAGCTTTAAACTGAGATATTTTGCAATAACGCTTCAACCATTAACATTGCCGTTATGGGCAGAAAATCCAAGATGGACCGCGGTCCTGCCGACATAAGTTGGTGTGTGATTTTTACATATTAAAAATATTGCACGCAACCTGTCCATAATGTCTATTTTACTCTTATGGTAATACCGCACAGGACTTTGTCTCATGCCAGAACAACCTTACTTGTCCAGTAAACATCTATTTTCTGGACAAGTAACATAATGTATTTTCCTTTTCCAAAATTATGTTACCTCTGATTTTCTTTGTAGCCTTTGTATGGATTGAATGTGAGGAGTTTAGTTTGTCTAGTTATGTCTAGTTATGTCATTATGTCTACTTTGTTCACTGGACTGGAATATTATGGAAAAATGTACAGTATGTATTATGGATGTGTAAAGAGCTATAGATTGCTATTTACAGGTTTATCCCAGTTTCGACAACGTAGCTGCTAGTCACGATGGACTGTTGGGAGGAGGAGGTCTACCGTACTCTCGGAGAACTCACGAGAAACAAGAGTGGCTCAAGCAATACCTTTTGTAAGAAGCGCTTTATTACAATTACATAACTTACTTTCATGAAAAAAATAGTTTGTCAATGATTAAAGTTAACTTATGTTTTTGGATCTTCATTATTTTAGGATTTAATTTGAGATCATGTGTTTTAATGAAGGTGGCTAAAATCATTTAAAAAGAGTTCTTAAACAATTAAATAAGATCAGTTCTGTAGCAATAAAATTAGAGAAAAAAAACAGTACTTTAATATCTGGGTGTCTGCAGCTGTCAAATATTCCTAATCTCCCTGAAAAGTTGTTGTCATCACAAACCCATAGTATCCCCAATTTATCTAAATTATCATTACATTTTGATACTTGTTGTAATAAAATATTTCATTTGTACTGTACCACCATTAATAAATATCATCAAATATGTAACATAAAATAATTAATGCATACACTTGAAGTATTCCTGCTGCAACTTTTGTGATTTTTCTCATTAAATATGATGGCTACCCCAACCACTTACTCATGATAAGGGGTAAGGACAAGCTAATGGGAGAAAGTATGTGTCTGATTGCTGATACCGTTTATTTCTTCTGTAGCCAATGGAAGTGTGACAGCAGACATCGTACGAAGGCAATGCCCCACATCAAGACCTACACTCGTATATCCCCAGACTTGTCAGAACTCGCCTGGTTTCACCTGACATCTGCCAATCTGTCCAAGGCTGCGTGGGGCTCCACCACTAAGGCGGGCGCTACCACCATTCTGTCCTACGAGGCGGGAGTACTATTTATTCCAAAGTTTGTGGTGAGTTGCCTCAGTATCATCTTGCAAGTCCAAGTATACCAGATGTCTCTCACTTTACAACAATATTACTTATTGTAAAAATATTTGGGAGCGGGCTGGTGTTGTGGTTAGAGAGCGGGACTTTAGTCCCTGAGGTCCTGGGTTCAATTCCCGCGTAATCAACAATGGATTTTATCTAAGTGATAATGCCGCAACCCCTAGGTCTAGCCTGCAGTAATGTGAAAAACAGTCCCAGGCTCGTGCCTAGCGCCTAGGAAAAAAAAATTGTAAAAGTATCTAGTATTTAATAGAATCTAGTTATAGCTCTACTACGTTTTTTCGTCAAATCGATTCTAGCTCTTACCGTTTTCGAGTTATAGACGTTTTAAAAAACCCCTTTTTCGGGATTTTCAAAAATCCGCCTAGTTCACCAATATTATTAGTCAATTATAATGGTAAACAAAATCAAGAAAGTTGCCAAATAACTCAGTAAATAGATGGTAATCCTTCTTTATATGTATTAAAGTGTTAAGTTATAAAGGAATTAAATGCATCTTCCTACACTTCTGATACCAGGGGCGGCTCCAGAACGGATTCTTGGAGCATACCAACCAAATACCAACCATTGCTTGGTAGTTTGATTTTTAGGCTATTTTCACTCCTCCTTTCCTACAAGTGCCGGAATTAGGGTACTCATGGCTATAGGACAAATTAACCCTAGTGGCCCCCACCCTTCAAGGTACAACTTCCGCGATCGCGCCAAAATTATGAACATCTATCCATTGAAAATCTTGTCCATTTCAGATCACGATGGACAAATCTTAGAAATAAATATTTCAAATAAATGTATAAAAAATAATTACATTATTAAAAAATCCCTATAATTCTCAGAAGAAAATAAGCTCCAATTTTTATAAAATGCTGGAAAAGGAAAGCTGGAATCATGTTTATTTAGCACTGGTAACAGAAAAGTACAATATTTTTCACAAAAGGTTAATTTACTACTATTGTACATGTTGCTTGAAATCAAGAAATTGCAAAGAAGTACAGGAGTTATAAAAACATAACAGTTCATATAGGCCTAATCAACATTTCTTGTAAATTATAAAAAATGGTAGGTGGTGATCAATTTCGACTGGACTCTCCAATTATCATCAGACACAATAGTGATGATTGTTTATCTATCTTTGCTGAATGTAATTTATTTTTGTTTGTTACAGACAGGAACACTCAGTTTTCCAGTCAGCCAGGTAACCGGTGGCGCTCAGGAATTTCCGATGCCTTACGATGTTCCACTGACTCCTTACACTTCAAGTGACGTGCCTTGGTTCATGGACAACCTGACATAGTGCACTAACATCTACATTGCATTAATTTGTTATGAGGATTACGCATGTCTCATTGTTTTATTGTATTTACTATTTTTTATATCAATGCATTTATTAAATAAATAATTTATTTTTGTCATACATTATTTATTACTAAAAACTTTTAACCCTCCGAGTGTCCCTTGTTTTGGCCTTAATGTCTGCCTAATATCTGCCTTTTTGCTCATTTGCAAGGTTTTATTAAAACGGATCTGAGAAGCTTGAAAACAATGTTAATTATATACCATTTTGTTTGGAAAATCATGGGCTTCAATATTATACATAAAACATAAGGAACATTTGTTTCAAAAAATTTTTGTTTGGTAAAAAAAAAATATTTTGAAAAATTAAAAAAAAAAAGTTTGCGCTCAATGAAATTGTATAAATTATAGGCCTATAAATATTTGAAAATAGCCACTTTGTTCTAAATTTTATGAGGATTACAAATATATAATAATATAAGGAAGTAGATTTGCAAATAAATAAGTTATGGGCAAAAAACAGATTTCAGTACATAGCGTCATAGACTAACCAACACAAGTAGACTTCTAATCTCATTGTAAATTTTGAAGCTAGTTTTTCATGTCTAGTTCATGTACGCCACGCTGGGCGCTAGTGTTGACGAAATTTTGTTTCTATTATTTTAGGGTTAATTTCTTGATTTGTGCTTTACAGTTGGTTAAATAACTAGGGGACAATTTATTGTTTATGATTAGATCGTATTATTTTGCTAAACGAGGTTTTAAATGACTGTATTAAAGGGAAACAAATTGTAAACAAAACACGACCTCTACATAAACCGTACAGAACTAACAATAAAATTGTCTTCAGCTGCTCCATTAGGATGAGAAATCTACTAAGGGAGTATGTTTTATCTATGATAGCGTTTAGCTAAGAATGCATAGCCTAACCATAGCTAGGAATCTGGCTGATAATTTACATCAATATGACTACCTACTTCTTCAGGATCATCAACCAGCCCTTCAAAATCACTTAAATCTTCTTATAATGCACCACGTATATCACTACTTTTGATTTTTAACACTAAAACAATGATAAACGTAATAAAACACATCAGTCATCGGTCCGAGGTTAACCAAGCTGTTTACAAATACGCACGTCAGCTGTCTGCTACAATATTTTCGGAACTAAAATGAAAAGCGCTTAGAGACAGACCTCCGGAGAAAGCTCTGAATCTGTCAAATAAAACGATACCTAACTTGATCCAGTTCAATCCGATTTTGTCAGTCATAGAGCCTTCGCCGTAAACAGTGTTTGTGAGTCGCTGCAGCGACAAATAACACTCGGAGGGTTAATTCTTTAATTTGCCTAGTTTTTAAAAATACGCCTGCTGCAACAAACGTGCAGACAAATTTTTGACCAAATATTTCCATGAAAGAAGTCATATGAATATATGGACATTGGGTGTGTTCCTAACCTAGTGGTTAGCGTCTCAGAATTTGGTATGGGAGGGACGGGGTCTATTCCTGGCACATGCACAACACATGGGTTTGGATCACATTCCATTGAAGTGTTTAAGTACTTCCTTCTGTGATTCCCCCTCCTGTATGAATTCCAACTGCATGGACAGCAAAAAAAAGAGTAAATTATAATAATGGCAGAAAAACTGAAGAAAGTTTGGAGGATTTCCTCTGCAATGAATATAATAGTGCTCTGTGTCAACATTGTTGGCTGTATCATCCTTCCAAGTGTTAAATGTCCCAAGAAATAGATTAGTGAAGATGGCTGCAAGACATTGTCGAGGTCTAAACAAGGCTCCAGTTCCTTGCTTCTCCCAGATTGAAGAGTAGCTCAGAAGGTTGTTTTCTTGTCCATCCCACCCTATCGAGGTGCTGCCAAATGGAGAGAAAAGTAAGAGCAAGTCCAGGCGTTAGTCGCAGTGGTCAGCAAGCCAGTTCCTCCCATGAGAGGGTTGCTATCTAGTCTGCGGAGACAGAAGCGCAATCTACTCTTAAGCGATGATAGAAGCGCAATGTGGAATGAACCTGTGTGTTACACCAACATGGGATGGGGAGGTCATAATGTTTTTTTTTGTAACTTAGGCCCAATTCTCACAGAACAGACGTGGGGCAAGGACGTGGCTCGGACGAGGCAAGGACGTATGTCCCTTCCTCGCCTCTCCATGTAAAAAAACTGGTCAATTACGACACAAGTGACGTGGCGCGGGCGGCCGCCCTCTCTTTGCCGTCCCTCGTGGGGTATCGGAAATGGCATGTCTGTAGGTAGTGTGACCGTTGTTCGGACTGCAAATATGGTTTGCTTACCAACCATGTTTGTTGTTTTCTAGAGTAATTGTGTGTTTTTTCTTGTTCTTTTCATGCGAGTAGCTCTCTTCTGGACAAATTGATTCTCTCCAATCGCCAATTGGTAGTTTTCTTTGTAATGTTGTCCTTAATACCAATACTTTAAAGAAACACTCACGGGACATCCTATAGAAATTTTGGAAACGTTCAGGATACAAATTTAGCTCACACATGACCTCAAATGTTCCCGTTTTTCCCTTCTTCAACCACAATGGATAAACCCAAAATCTTCTTATTTGCAAATTGACCAAGAGCACTAAATCAACATGTCTTCGTCATATCCTTCACTGCTATCCTCCATATTGTGATGTAGTTAGTACTAAACCTTAGTTGACAGAAATGACTAATTGAAATAACCAAGCCAAACCAAAGCGTCTAGTCTACATAAAAGTTTTTTTCGCCACTGTACCGTCCCTTCTGTGTGCATTGTGCTTGCCACGTCTCTGCCACATCTGTGACTCGTCCGTGACAAGTCTCTGGCTGACGTCCGTTCCATGTGAATTGGGCCTTAGGATCTTGTAACAAATAAACCACGAGGAAAAGATTGTGTGTGCCTTTCATTTGAAAAATCAGGAATGTTTCTTCATATTAGATAACTGTATGGGGAAGAATTGTTCTGAATAGTGATGATAGTAATATTGTTGCATATTCCTAAGAAGGCTTTTTCAATAAAGTGGACTGTATATGAAGGGATAATGAATTTGATTTTGTTTACAAACAAATATCATGGACTTTTGGTTTTAATTTAGATACAATTAAGTTACTGTTACCACACATGAAGTTCTGGTTCAAAGGTCTGGTAGAGTATGTATGAGTATAGCAATACGCTTCTTCTGATGAAAGATAGCTTATTTAAAATAACAGTTTTCAGAGCTCAAAGTTTCACACATACACAATTTATATTCAAATTAAAGGGGTTAATTGGTTAGACATACACAAAATAAAGAGTTAATTGAATAAAACAAAATAATTGAAGAAAATAATGAAATTGCTAGGGTAGACTTCCGTATCCGTTGGCACAAACAACCGAATGAAAATATTGATTATTCGACTGTTTCATTTAATATACCGTTTGTTTAGTTAGTTTAGGTTAACCTTACCTAACTATATATCGAATAATCGGTATTTTCACTTAGTTGTTTGTGCCAACAGATACGGAAGTCTCCTGAAGTCTACCCAATTGCTACACAAAACGATAAATATGAGGAAGGTAAAAGCACTGTTTAACAAAAATGAATGTTTACATTTATTTAATTTGTATTGTAGTCCAGGCAACGAAAGGATGTAGAGGGAAATTTTTGGAACACAATTTTTGACTTCGTAACTTTGTTTACTATAGTTAGGAGGTTAACATACCAAAAGTCCCCGCCTCTAGCCCTTGTGCTGTGGGGGAGGGGGGGGCTTGAATGTACCATTTTTCGGTTTTTTGCTAATATCTCGGAAACCATGCGTCCAAGCAAAATTATGCTAATATACAAAATGAAAGCTTATTAAATTTCCAGCAAGTTTGTAATTTACTATTTTTTGATATCTTGTATAGTTTTCGTGTTATTTGCCATCCAAAGTTTGTAAATTTGGAAAAATACATTTTTTCCTCATGTTTTTTGTCTTTTTTGACAAGTTGCCTCTCAAACTATGCACCAAAAAATAAATGCTGGTCATAGGGTTGTAGAGAATTAAATTCCCTTCAATAATATATATGACTTTACTAGTTTACCTCCTTCCGTTCAGATTTGAAAGCAAATTAACTGTCAGTATAAAAAAAAATAAATTTAATTAAAATTTAAGAAAATTGAAATCTAGTGTTGAGCAAGGAATTTGAAGTCTTGCAACAGCTGTTGACTACTTAATATATTTTAATTTATCACCTTACATTACTAATTGGTTGGAACATTCACTATCAAGTAGCTAAGGTGAGTGATGGGCGTCTAAAAATGGCACAGATACCCTATAGAAAATATATACTTGTGGGCTGCCCAACCAGCTTCCTCACACTTGATGATCTAGCTAGTCTATTGTAATGGGAAAATATGGTGTTATAACCATGTTAATGCATATAAAAGTGTCTATATGACACTGGAAACCAATCACAACCATTAAATTTAAACAAAGATAAATTACATATTTGAATGAATTAATATAAAAAATTACATCAGTAAGTAGCCTACTATTCTATCCCTTGCTATCTTAGTTTAATAAGGACTACCATCCTCATCATTTTTATCCTTTTTTTCATAGGTATACTGTTTTTCTTCATATTCTTAGTCATCTTTCCCAGGGACAACATTTTGACATTTTTGGCATACTTATTTTAGGCTTGCTTTTTTGCTACCTGATTTTGCTCGAGTACAGTTTTATGTGCATAGGCAGAAAACTGTTTTGAGGATATCCTTCAGTGTAGTTTCATGCTGAGTGTACTCTGTTACTACAGAGTTTTTATTATTTTTTTCCACTCTTACATAAGAGAAGGCAGGTTATTTCCCAGCCACAGCTGAACCTTTTGGAATGTACATGATAGGAAACGATGTTTGAAAGCACCATCAGTCGGAGGAAGACAAGAGATCAAGAGAGGCTTGATGGAGACCATCGATTTAAAAATTGACTTTTACCTGTATAGATTGAAGTTGAAGTGCACGATACCTCTCTCGCTGAAGCCCATATCAAATCAAGATGTACATTTTCCCTACCTTTTGTATTTGGGTGGTGTTGTAGAGGGGGCGTGAAAGACAGATGATGCATTTTGGGCCACTGGGGAATTCAGATACAACTTCGCATA